CGCCTGAGGTGCTTGCTGGGGTATTTTCGAACACAACTGCCTCCACATCCTGCTTTCCATCCACATAAAGCCAATCATAGCTGGCGTTTTTGCTCTCCGCATCGAGAAGCATTTCTCTCGCTTGTTTGAGATCTTGTGCCTGGCCAAGGCGGGTTGGGCCAAGAGCACGAGTCAGAAATGTGTAGGGTTTCCGCTTCTCGCCAGCTTTTCCCTTCCCGGTAACGATCAAAATAGATTTCCCGTCGAGTAGCTTTAATCTCTGAGTGAAAATGTCATTGAGATTCGCATTAGAGGCAGAATATGGGCGTAAATATCGACTCTTCACAGCTCCACCTAGGAATGAAGAGTTCCCAGCTGAGAGAAGATATGGTAGCCAATCGATAATAGCACATTTTTCAACACAATGAGAAATCCATCGTCCTGAAATACACGGGAGCCCAAGAGCCAGCGCTTGCATGTACTTGGCCTTTCTCGAATGCTCATCCGCAATCAATGCCACGAAACCAATATTTACCTCCGAAGAGGCAATCTCAAGCTCCGCCTCTCCAGTCTCACTATTACCGGTACGAGATTTGGAGGGTGGAATTATCGGGGTAAACAAGTTCTCGAATCCGTCATCTAATATTCGACCACCATGTTGTTTAATTAAACGGATCGCAACTTGCTTATCCTTTTCTGCATCCACGTATGAGACAGCGAAAGCCATTCCCTCGAATAGATTGTCCATTGACTTCTTACTATTCAACGAAGTTTTTGAAGGCGGTGTTGATAGTGCCAGTGGATCTTCACTATCTTCTTGTGATGGCAGGATTGATTTTCGATTTAAGACAGGTGCTGGAACGGCATCTTCTTGCTCTTCCGGGCTCATAGAGCTTCGGGTACGGTGTCTTTTCGTAGCTGGAAAAGCAGTTACACTGATTGATTCCTTCGCCTTGGTAGCAGCACTGCCTCTCGGGCGACCTCTTGAGCGACCTCTTGTACTTGAGTTAGAATTAGAAACGGATGGAGATACTAAATCTGACTCAGCAGTGGATGAAAGAGGATTCGAAATTGTAGACGACACACTCGAAAGCCTAGTATCTCGAGCAACTCTTGGCTGTTGCTGTGTGATAGGCGGCTTTCCGAATTGGCCCTTTGAGAATCGAGTAGATTTACGTGGCGTTCTTTGATGTACGCTTTCTTGCTCTCTTTTTGTCGATGAAAGTTGTGGCTCCTCAATCGGGATTGTTTGGGAAGGCTTCGCATCATGTTCAGTTGAGGCCAATGGAGGAAGTACATCTTTTGAAGCAGTCTTAGAAATATCTGCTGAAAAGTTCAATTCAGAAGGCTCAGTCGACAGCTCTATTCCAGGTGAGTTGCAATCGACTGCTTCTACTTCAGACACCTCCTGAACTGTGGAAGTCAAAAGATTTCTTGCGACAGGAGTGGGTGGCTCTATTGTACTGGGAGCAGATGAAAGTCCCGACGAGGCTGTAGCAGCAGAGCCATTGGGTATTATGTCAAAACGACTAGGCGTAGTAGCTAGCGATGGTTGAAACTGAGATTGGCGTTTCGGGGTATGATGACTAGATACACCAATAACCTCGTTAAACTCATCATCCATGTTAAATCCTGGCAAGTCATCTAACTCATCATTATTCCCTATACTGAGAGAGATTTCTGCGATCTCAGTCATAGGAATTAATCTATCAGTGGCTGGACTAGTCTCTGGGACAGTGGAGGCGACACCATCCGAGGGTGGATTCTGTATTTGGGTGGCGGGTTCTTTAACAGCGTCGCTGAAAGATACTTCATTAGGTGATGCAGTCATCCTCTGGTCGGGTGGGGCAGGTACAGTGGGATCTTTTTCTTGAATTCCATCGGCATGATTGACGTTTTTGCTTTCCAGAGGCTGGCTTAGATCCTGGCTCAGAGGCTGTTGTAGCTTTTTTGGTAGCCTCTGAGCTGGGCTCGTTGATTCTGGGTCCGCCTTTTCAACATCAGAGCAGGCTGGCGCTCGATTCCGTGGTCCGGGCACTGGAGAACTTGTAACAAGGTTGCTTGACAAAGGAATACCTTGAGAATCAGCAACCATATCCTGTTGTGTTGGTTGAGTGTCTCGTGCATCAAAACCTTCACACTGGGCTACGTAGTCCTCCTGCATGCTTCGGCGTCGTCCACTTGCAGGAACCTCCACAGCAATCGGAGTTGATTCGAAGGCCTGGGGTGTATGAGAAGATGTCACTTCTGAAGACTTGCGCTGATGATTAATTGACCTTTGGTGTGTACTAGCCGTGGCAGAAATTGAACTGACTTCTTTTGCGGAGTCCGATCTATTGGATAGAGTTGGTCTTCTCCCAATCAGGGCTGTCTGCGCGCGTAACTTATGTTTCTCTCTCGCCGCCTGTTGGAACTTCTTGGGTAGTGCCTCAATATCAGAATCTGATTCCGAGCCAGAATGTACCTGACGTTCGATGAAGTTATTTCTTCTTTCTTGGGACTCTTTCATGGGTATGTATGTATCCTGAGGTTCACGTACTAACGTTAATTTTCGAAGAGCGGAATTAAAAGATTGTATCTTAGTTGACACTATGGCAGATTCGACTGGAACAGGTGTCTCAGTAGATGTTGAGCGGCCAGAAGATCGCTCTAATTGTTGGGTAATCGCGCCAGCGACCTCCGAGCGTCGTACGAGTGGTGACGGTTCAACTTCTTGTGAGGATCGATATCCCTCATAAACATCAGGCGATGGCCTAGAGGATGTAGGACTGCCACCAAGTCGTCCAATCGATGATGGCTGGGTTGCGCCAAAGAGCTCATGCTGCTTCATTACACTACCCTTCTCAGAAAATGGGTTGACTGACGGAGCCGGAGTCTGAGGGTCAAGAAGAGTGTCTTGCACAAGATCTTGAGTGCTATGAATAGCAGGCGGATCTTCCGATTGGAGATAACCTTCATCAGGTACCGATGCTGGTTGAAATGTATCAAAGTTTATGTGACCCGTGTCGTTCTCCTCATATGTACGTGCAGTCGACTCAGTATGTGTAGAATTGGGGTCTACAGATAAGCCATTTGATTGTGGACCTGGCAGATCATCTCGTTCGATCGGAATTGGTGGGCTTGAGGAAAAATCGTTATTCGTTCCAAGAAGAGCCTGGTCTCCCAATCTTTGCAATTCTAAGGCTTCGTAAAGTGACTCAGGATTCTCTTGAGTTAAAGATAAATTACTCTTTTGAGTATATTCCTCACCCTCCATTGCTCTCAACTGGGCACGAGGCAAGGGAAGTAGGTTGCCGGTAATATCGGATGGCCTCAATTCTTTTCCATTGTCTCGCTTTACTGTTGGCAATACTGGTGGACCATCTCTCGTCCGTTCGGATTTATGTACAGGATTTGAAGGTAATGGACTTTCTCCGTATGCTTGGGCATTAATATCGGATTCTCTGACGGCCTCTATCTCATGAACAACTTCCTGGGCTTGATTGTGGTGTTTTCCATTTCCTGTAACATGACGGAAATTGTTTGTCGCGTCGATATTACAATTATGATTGCTTGACGCGACGACGGGAAATGACATATTGTTATCCGCGGCTGGTCTCGCCGGACTACTCTATTGGTGAAGATAAAATGTCAGTGCTGCCCTTGTAAGTTTTTGCCATGCTGCGATTTGTGGAATGGTGATTGTAGAGTGTGAAAGCGGAGATCAATCAAATCAGTACATATGTGGCTTACCGATAGTATTTCTTCTTGCAGTTGCAGACACCTCTGCGTATCAAATTCCTCTGCACCATCTCCATTCAAAGCCGCAATGGCGGCCAAACTAACAGATTTAAACATGATGATATTCTCATATTCAAGATCAAATTGGTCGTTTAATTTAAATTGGTAGTTGAGGTCGTAGTATAAGTGAAATGTTGACTTGAGCAGAATGATGAAGAGAAGATGCAGGTGCTGTAAGATAAGAGTATCGTGGCGAAGGAAGTAAAACGCGACGAGCTTTTAAGATTTTGGTGCGTCAACACGTGATCGATTAAATGTTTCTGTTGCTCCAGCTAAAACCAAAAAAGAAGGTACTAACATAACAGTACAAGGGAATCTGGACAAACCACTTTGATTGGAACAATGCAGGACATCTGCAGTACATGAATCTCTTCATCATATTCAACTTCTGCACAGTAACAAGTAGGAACTACATTGGATATTCGAGACAAAGTCAAGAAGCTTCTGATTATCCCCTCGATCAGAAATCTCCTAGTCGTAGTTGGGGATACACCTATAAACTTATCCAATTTCTTGCTAGATAAGGGGAGTACCCCATGCTGGCACATGTTTCTATAGAATTTGGCTATACGTAGAGCAGTCTTTGTTGCTGACTCAATATTCCGTTGTATCGTCCACTGAACACTTATCATTGTTGACCGAGAATCAAGCATCTGAAGATCTTTCTCAACAGGCCCATTCCACATATATATATGATTTCCGTATATCGAAAACATTTGACAGCGTCATCCAGTTGACAACGAACTCCCCTTTTGCGGCTTGCTCTTTGTATTATGATGTGATCAAGTGATCCATTCGTGTGAGAGACATATCTTCCACTTCACAAACTTAAATTATTCCAAAGGCTGATGTGTCGCCAATCTCTCTTGTTTGACCAGTGTCACAATAATATGATTGAGAGCTCTAAATATAGCTTAACATAAGAGAGGGAAACGCCTATGGCGTGAAAGTACAAATCCGAGTCAGACTTTGGACGAAGGCTACCTAGTTACCAGATTCACTTACCAATATGGTATGTTGGTGTTGTCAAATGGTTCGATGGTCCTCCATATCGAGTCACACCACCATATGTTCTCACCACCTTATAGTTCACCACCTCTTCTTCTTTTCGAACCCACAATCTGCTCTCACTTCTTCCTCACTTCTTCTCCCTCAAATATCCACCATCAAAGCTTCGCCCTACGTTCTCAGCTCTTGTCCTCTTTTCAATCCGTTTTTGAGATTACTGAAATCACTGCGAAATGTCAACAGAAGCCGAGAGCCAAGACATGCCGAATTCTACTCCTATCAATGACAGCATGGTGTGTGATACTAAGGAGATATATGAGGTCAAGAAAGATCAATTCGGCCAGATCACTTGGTTGGCCAAGTATCCCGATGATGTGGAAGATGCTGCTGAGAATGCGGAGACCGCCCGTTGTGCCATTCTTTTACGCTACAGGAAAAGCTTCGATTCTCGCAAGAAAATGGAAATGGATAGCATCATCATCCAGAGTCCATTGCTCAAGCAAGTTTTGAACAAAGTTATGAAGGATTATCCTGGTGTAACTACAAGCTTGCAGAGACTCGAATTCAAATCCCCCTTCAATCCATTCGTTCATCGCTGGATCCAACTGTTGCAGGCCATCGAGAACGAGAACGATGAAGATACAAAAGCTCATCTTGTTCTTTTACAAAAGATTCTCGAACCAGAACTCAAAGACGTGATCGAGGCCAGAATTGACTACATCGAGAACAAGGTTGTTACTTACGATCACCTTTGGACTATTTTCCAACCAGGTTGCATATTATACAAGCCAATATGGGGTCGTGATTCTGCTGTAAAGTTTTCTCATGGCGTTGCTATCAACGATGAGAAGAAAGGTCACGTCTATCGAGTATACTGCTATATGGTGAATTGGGATGGTGAAAAATTTGGATTTGACTTGGGTCATTGCGATATTTCAGAGTTTATAGGCACGGCCGAGATCGATACACTCCCTGTCTTTCCACTCGAGTTTCATCCAGATGAAAAGAAGATTAAGGCTAAGCTTTTCAAACGCGGAAAACTATTTGAACAATATCGTGGTCATCATTTTAGATATTACAAGTCCTTTGCCATTGGTGAAGATCCTGAATGTGGCTGCCCTATCAAGGTAACCGTTGATAGTCGTATCATTATGTAAGTATTTCTTTCCATCGCAGCTGACAATCACTAATCAATATTATCACCAGTGATACTCGTGCATATGGCAAATACAACCCCAACAAAGTTTCACCCCTCAAGGCGCTTAACCATAAGAGGGCTTCTGAAATCGTCGATCTAGAGTCAGACTATGGAAGCGATGAGTACGAGCTATATGAGGACGATATCAATTACTCCCCTAGAAACCCAACTTTGAACAGAGATAAGGATTCTACCTGGTCCACCATCAAACCCCTCGCCTCAGAACATCTCATCATTTGTTCTCCTCTTCTCAAAGGATATGCTCTAAAAGAGAAACTTTGGCTTGAATTTTTGGTTGATGTTCCTACCGACATCGCCTGGAGCAATTCTGCATTCCAAAATCTCGTCCTTCCGCCAGCACAAAAAGAACTGATTCACGCCATCGCAACTTCCCATATCTCAAACTCTTCGAAGTTCGACGATGTCATTAGCGGCAAGGGCAAAGGCATAATCTTTCTGCTTTCAGGTGGCCCCGGTATTGGGAAAACCTTGACTGCCGAATCTGTTGCCGAGCAAATGCAAGTTCCACTCTACGTGCTTTCGGCCGGAGATTTAGGCACAGAATCTAAAGATGTTGAGTCAGCTTTGCGTTCAGTCCTTCAGATGGTCACCAGTTGGAATGCGATCTTATTGTTGGATGAATGTGATGTTTTCCTCGAGGCACGAACTTCAAATTCGCTTGAACGCAACAAGATTGTTTCGATCTTCTTACGAACACTTGAATATTATGAAGGGATTTTATTCATGACCACAAATCGTGTCAACAATATTGATCCTGCTTTCAAATCACGCATTCATTTAAGTATGGATTTTAAAGATTTGGATAAGAACGCTAGAGAGAAAATTTGGAGAAACTTTCTATCGCGTGGAGAGGATCAAGGACATCATCATCATCATCAAATCACTGATGTTGAGATTGGCAGATTGGCGGACTCAAACATTAATGGAAGACAAATTAAAAATGTTTTAAAGACTGCTAAGTTGCTCGCTAGTCACAAGGGTGAGCTTCTCAAGTTCGAACACGTTGGAACCGTTATGAGTGTGGAGGGAAATTAAGCACGTAGGCATATCCCTATGCATATTCTGAAAGGAAGTTATCAGCTTAGGATTATAGGAAGTCGATTTGACAAGTTTCTCGTCTCGTATTTAGCAAGTTTAGGATATTACTAGACAATACACGCGCGTTTATTTTTGAATTTTTGAGGAAACTTCATACATTTAACTCCAAGACAATTCACAAGTTTGAGTGATAATCCACTAAGTTCTCAATACGTACAATTTTTAAAGTAAATTTAGTATTCCAAACTGCTCGAGTCATTCAATCAAATCCAAAAATTGAAAGTTTCTGACCGCCCAATCTCCATTTTCCACCCCAATGCCGCCATTCGTATTTTTCTTCTCATTCTCCAAGTCATCAGCAACCCAATCTCGTATCCTTCACGTGAATCACGAACCATATCGTATCGTAGCACCGCACGCTCTCAGCCTCAACGCGGATCCGTCTTGGCGGTAAGCGGGACATCAGACCATGACTTCATCGCTTAACAGAACATCGCGAATATCACTAATCCGCCCGCATCACCTGAAGAACAGTTTCTCCACATCACGCCATAGCGTGTGGGTTGTCAAACTATTTATAACACTCTCGAATGTTTTCATGATTTTAAGCTTTTTGCTGCTGGGGAATTTTACTAGTTTGTGTTTTTTACGATGTTTGTGTTTTTGGGGGGAGAGCTGAGTTTAGGTGATGATGCTCGTATTTTGGATTCGATGATCGTTACATGGAATTGGAACACATTAGTGAGATATGGGGAGAGCTTGGGTCTCGGATAGCTAGTAGTGAGTGACGGGTACGAGCGATGATCTGACAGCGCAACGACATTGGGTTGGTGACATCAAGCTTATGATGTATTCTTATTGGTATCTTGGAGATGGACTAGCTGGATATATGTAAGTAAGAATGATATGACAATCTGGGGAAATGGAGTATATAAACTCTTGATACTTCCTGAGGTCAAGTTTTTTTTTTCGTCATCATCACCATTACAATCTCATATATTTAATCATCAACACAAGCTCTTTAAACATATCCAAACAATCAAAATGCAATTTTCCACCCTTTTGACTCTTGGTCTCGCAGCTATCAGCGGAGTCGCAGCTGCGCCTACCAGTTACTTCGATGTGGATATTACATTTATCGGGGGTCCAGCAAGTTACAATTTGACTGTTCCTGCGGATGGACAATTTCACGCAACCAGTACTTGTCCCCTTCTCTCTCTCTTAAGTTTCTTTACTCCTATTTTCCTTTTCGCTTCCACCCCTTAAGCCCCAAGAAAATCTAACTTTTACTCCCAGACAACCCCCTCTCCATCTCTCTCATCCGCTCCTCCAACTTCGACGTCTATAATCTCTGCACCTTCTACCATGATAGTGCGGTTGCATTAGTGAACAATGGAGGGATTGTTAGTGTGGGTCCTCCAACACCGATCACTGGGGTGAGCTGCCAGGTGACGGATGAGAGGTGCATTCCTAATTATAGTGAGTCTTTCTACTTTTCCTCTGCAATTTTATGTTTGTGTTTGGAAAGTTGTTCAGCAAGTGAAGAAGGGAGGAAGTGATATACGAGAAGAGAGAGAGACAGGGATAAGTGATGGTGAAAAGGAAAATTTGGTAATAAAGATGCTAACCTCATAATAATAGGCGATTGCTACAGAAACGGACAATTCCTCGGATCATGCTGTGATGGATTCTGTGCAGCGAACAAATGTAGACCTTTCTCTGGAGTTTAAGTTCTTACTCTCATGATCGATTGCACTGTAAAGGGGATGCAAGACAGGAGTACGTTATCACAGGCGTGGAGTTGTTAGGAGAATTGAGGAAGTGGAGGGAATTGAGATTTGCACATTCATTTGGTGTTCTGGAATTGAGGGGTTTTCATTTAAGCTTTCGAATCTTTATTTGTATCGTTTCTGTCAACTTTAATGTAATGAATCTTGGAATAACAGCATTTATAAAACAATTGTTTAGCAAAAGATGTGTAAAAACTGGTCGATTCAAATCTTGTTCCTCACATGTATCTTTTTCAATGACATGGATTTGACTCTTACAAAGAAGTTCGAGCAGTGAGTAAGATGCAGTAATTCGTTGCTTAAAGCAAATTTTGGATTTAGCAAAATATCTGGGATATGATTCAATCGTCCCCTGTTCGGAATTTATGGTAGAATTCCAGCGACTCATCAACTCAAGATGGAACTTTCCAGGCAGTAACAATGCAACCATTACCTTTATTCTAAAACAACGATTCTGACTACATCAATATCTTGCTGGGAGATTCTAAAATTTCTACTCTGATGAGATCAAAAAAAGTGTAGATGATATTCCTCACGAAGACCTGCCTTGCGTAAAAAAAATTAGCAACCCAGGACCAATCAATTAACACTCTTAATTGAACAATGCTGGGTGATCTTGTAAATCCCGTGTAGAACATGAAGGATTTGCCCGTCTTGCCTCGCCAAGTATATGGGGAGCTCTGCCGAAAGCTTCATGGATCTTATTGGCTGCAAGTGGAAGTAAGGGATGGTATAGTTACATCGCGTGAGGTGGGATGAGGGGTAAATGACTTGAGTATATTACTTTATAACCACTGTAATCTTCCCGGAAATACCCAACTAGATCTCACTCTCTCCTAAACCTCTTCAACACCCATCTTTTCTCAAAATGCAATTCCTCAAATTTCTTATTCTTTTAACGGGACTAATATCTCGTACCGTCTCCTCAGCATCATCAAAATGTCCCAACATCTCTCCCGGTCCAGCATCCTCATTCCAACTCGCGGAGCTCCTTCCCATATCCCCTTTGACAGATCCAGTCGCTATAGAAACTATTCGTAACACACTGTCTCTATATGCATTTGCCATTGACGGACGAAATGTAAGATAAAGATTAAAAGACCTGCTTTCCCTATAACTTCTCAGAATCTTACAAATCCACCATGAATCCAAATCCTAACAAACCATTCTCCAACGCAGTGGCAAGCGTTCTCTCGGGTATTTGCCCCAGACGCCCGAGCAAATTATTCAGAGCCTATTCCTGTTCTCTATGGACTACAAAATATCACCGATGCTATTGCAGCCCAAGTTACTCAATTCACAGGGACGCATCATAGATACGGTACCCAGTATATAGCGATATGTTCGCCTACCTCAGCAATCTCCGTAACTTATCTTGAAGCTAGTCATTTCTTCTTGCCGCATACGTCGCCGGTTATAGAGGATGATAGTAATACCCTTTTTGCGACGGGGAGGTATGAAGATACGTGGAAGAAGGCGAATGGAATTTGGAAGATTGTGAATCGAAATTTGGTTTTTATTGTGAGTAAAGAAGGGAAGAATATTGATAGTGAAGAGGCCGGTGCTAATACTCTGAAAAGGGACCGTTTATCTTGGATACTGCGTAGGAGCTTAATGTTGGGTTTCCCAACTCTGCTTGAAGTTAGCAGCTTTGAAAGTATTGGAAACCAAGATTCTCGGACCATCAGAGGCATAGACATTGGGTAGAATATGCTTTGGAGAGTCGTATAGAAGAGTGACCGGAAAAGAACTCCCTTATATTGAAATTTCAGGACTGGTCTTGACAATGGCTTTGCAATGGAAGAAATGACCATCATTGAATGTGTGGTCAAGTGTTGCGTGGATGTCTTTGCTTTGAGATATCAAATATCTCCTCAATCATTTTTCGCGAATGGTATCTTCCAGATCTTGTCGTACAATGACTCTCCTCACTCCTGCACTCCATTTCAATTTCCATTATGCAAACTCATAGTCCTCCAAATGCGTCCACTCCCCACTAACCTCATACCTCCAGAGACTAATCGCCTCGGCCATTCCCCCTATTCCCCCATTTCCATCCCCGTTCATCGTCCACTCCCTCCTCACCTCCTCCAACGTTCTCTTTGCCTCCTCCTCTCCAACCTTATTCTGCACCGTAACATGCGGTCTAATTTTCTTATCATCTTGTTCCGTCAATTGTACACCTTTCTCTCTAAATTCTCCAAGTAATTCTTCATGAATCTTCCGTAATTTGAAAGATGCAATATTGAGCGCTACACCTTTCCTCCCCAAGGGAAAGGGATCTTTAATACCGACTTTGAATTTTTGTTCTCGTGATGAGAGGGAAGTGAGAGTGGATTTGTAAAGAGAATGTTGGGAAGAGGGAAGGGCATGGAAGAGAGTTATATGTGCAGAGAGGTAGTTGCGGGAAGAAGGAAAATAGCGGGCCCGGAGAGCAGTGAGGAGTTTTTCGGAGGCGGCGTCGAGGCGGAGGGTCAGGATAAATGGTTGAGACATTTTTCAATGTGTGAGGGAAGAACATGAAATGGATGGTTGTTTTCAGGTGAGTTGAGGGACTTGGTGGAGTCGATGATTCGGGAAGATAATGAGGTCATGGATTTAGGAGTGGGAACCATAATTAGCGTAGAGTTACATAATGGTGTTTGGAGCGTCGACGTTAATTCAAATAATTTGATTATTTGATAACATCGCAGACTTGTGATAATTTTCATCGAGACGCACAATTCAATCAGTATTGAGGTAGATTATTTGATCCAAGATTTGTTACCGATCCAATCGTATCCTAGATACCTCCCCTTCCTGTCGCCTATCGTTGTCAAACCCGAGTACCAAGTTATTGAAATCAACAATCCTAATCGAAACATTGCAAACATAAAACAAAGTTCTATCCTATTCGATCTTACCGTCCGTCCTTTTCAAAACTCTTGCTCTGAAATTCTGTTGCTTGACAAACCATCTGTTCTTACAAACTATCCCCCCATTTCGCTCCACATCCGCATCCAACTCGAAATCAAATCTCCTCACCAATCGCGGTATCAGCTTGTTCATCTCCAACAAACTAATATTCTTGCCAATGCAAGTTCTAGAACCCATGCCAAAAGAGAAGAAATACTTTTCTACTTCTGCACCTCGACCTTGCTCCTCAATTTCGAGCCATCTTTCGGGTCTCCATTGATCTGCGTCCGAACCCCAGACAGAAGTATTATGATGAGCTACATATGCATTGATGCCAACTGCAGAGCCACCTGGTATGAATTGATTTGCGATGGTAGTACCTTCGGCTGGGACGATTCGTTGTAGCCCCAGACCCACAGCAGGGTGGACTCGCAATCCTTCTTTGATAACCGCTTGTAGATACGGCAGTCTTTGGGCTTCTTTAAAGGTAATGGGATCTGATATTCTTCCCTCCCTTGCCGCAGTTTCGATCTCGTCTCGCAGGGTTTGATAAGTATGTGGGTACTTCAACAAATGGTAAAGCACACTCGAAAGGGTAATAGCTGTTGTATCACTTCCTGCAGCAACGTTGGACTGGCATGTGGTAACCAAATCGTGTCTCGTAATCTTCTCAGGGTCCTCTTGAGAAGCCATCAAAATCCTCGTCACAAAATCTGGAGTGCCCTCTTCTTTCTCGTCGCCACTTTCTTTCAACACCTTTTCTTTTTTTGCAATACTGTCGGCTGTGAACTTGACAATAGATGCAATCCCGCCAGTTTTAGGCAATAACGGAAATATCCAAACGTGAAGCCAGCTCCAAATCCCAACGAATGTAGAATATTGCCCTCCTTTATCAATTGCCTCGAACACACCATCCTTATCCTCTCCCATATCCAAAAATCCAAAGCGTTGGCCAAATGTAATCTCTCCAATAACATCAAACGCATAGCATTGCAACCAATGCTGCATATTAACAAAATCTCCCGAAATTGCCGATTTCTCGAAGTGTCGTGAGAGTAACTCGGAACAATTATCCACATGGCCCTCATATCCAACCATAGAACTCATACTATAGTAATTTGCGACCTTACGTCGTTGTGCAGAGTGAGTATGTGGATTAAGCTCAGAGAATAGCGAAGCTGGGAATAGATTCGAAGGCTGCCATGTTGAATACCATGATGTTTTTGGGAAACTAGCTCCACCAATAGAGTAGATAACTTTGGCAGCATTGAAATCATCAATCAAGTATTCATGCGGTGCGATGCGGACAATAGGGCCATAGCGAGAGTGTAGTATTTGGTTAGTACGTTCGAAATGACCTTTGTATATTTCCCAACAATACCAGACTCGAGTAAAGCGTGCGAGGAACGGTCCTGGAATATGGCGGAGAGGGTCTATCGTTGCGAGGGATACGGTACTTAGGATGTAAATGGATACTGGGATCGTAATGAGTGCCCATATTGGGAGGGAGGTAGTTTCTTGAAGCATGCTGTTTTGATTCCCCGAAAGAAAAGGAACTAGAACAACATAAATAGTGACGAGAAATGGCAAGAGATTGCAAGATATATATATCTAATTATTACCACATGAACACACTTCGGACATGTTTCAGCTTGCAATGCATGACTAACACATACATATACGACGGAGTTTTTGAGCGGTGGTTCAAATGCGGGGAGCTCGTGTTACGGAGAAATGAAAAGTGCGTCTATGTAGAGGCCGCGGACATTTTACAACTTATACGAGCTTTACAACTCAGTACCGTGCAACATCAACTAAATGGAGTTAAACAAGAGAGGTCAATAATATATGCCCATCATTATCACCGTCATCGATATTGAAGATATAAAACTTTCTTGCAGAATGACTGCGACCTCGGTGATGGATCAATATATACTCTAGATCCATAGTATCGATCATGCTACACCCCTTCCACACCTACAAGAACGACTCCTTTATCGGTTAACTAACGTCTACCGAGTGGTTGGGTTGCGCAATGGGCCTGGTCTGGAGGACTGGCGGCGGACGCAGATCGGATACATCTAAACTTCTTCAGTTATCTGAGTAGTTAGATCTTAACTAGATCCTAGCTACTTGGTTGATCACCTCAACATGCACTGGAAATTGAAATCATACTTACATCAAAGTGACCAGCAACTGTTGATTGTTCCACGCAATTTTATACCTTGAAGTTGACTCGAGATAGTGAAACCAAGGATCATGGGTTGATACACAGTATAAAGTCACATAATGAGTGATTTTATTCTTTTCATCTGAATGATAGATTGAAGATCGGGTTGATTAGTGGATTGGCTGAGATGAGAGGGAAATACCTCATTCGAAATTCCGAACTTTATAAACCTGTTTGACATAAAATACAGTACCTCTTTGATAATTCATCATAGATCCCTCCTGTCGATCGGAGTGCCTCCCCTCAGGACCTCCCCCCTCCAACAAAGCTTTGTTTTTGACGCTTTGCCATCCACTCACTATCCTGTCTCCTCTGGGCTCTCAACCTATCATTTTCGTATAATTCGTCGATTTCTCGTTGGCCTATTGGTTTTTCAAAATCGTATAGTGGTTCGAGGGTTGCGTATTTCTGCTGCAATAAATATCGTTTTATCCACCATCTATTTGATTTAGTCAATAATGCTATCTGGTGTGAAGAGAAGAGTAGATAACTCACGGTAGGGCTCTAGTAAGCTGGTAATGCATATGTGTACGCGTGGGAACAGCAAACACAAAATTTAATTCTTCGAGTGTACGTTGCTTGGTCTCCGGTACCCACAGGAATATCATGCATAATGATATGATATTTAATCCAGCGTAGAAACCGAAAGTTCCCTGTATGATCAATTAGCAACCAAGCCAATAGAGAGGTCACGATTCAGATGAGTATATATCTTACGGCAACAGTAAAGAGATCAAGCATTCTAGGCAAAGTAATGCTTAATACAGCGGCCCAAAAGAAGTTCGTAGCAACAGCCCAACCCATTCCAACTTCACGATGTGATAGCGGAAACACCTCAGCAGAGTAGGTAAATGGAACTGGACCTGCCCCGGGGCTATAGAAAGCAGCATAGACATATATAAACAGTGCCATAAGGCTTAGATGTGCTCGGCTGGAGTCCGGTATCAATGAACAAAGTGCCACGGCAAGTATACTCCAAGCCATGTTGGGAATCGTAAATAACAACAACGTTCGTCTGCCGTAAGTATCAATTGTCCATATAGCTGGCCATGCAAAGATAAAATTAACTAGACCAAACCCCCATGAAGCTAAAAGTGCATTAATCCTGCCAGCACCAGCTTTCTGAAAGACAGTCGATGAATAAAACGCAATGACATTGATTCCACACATTTGTTGAGCCAACATGACTGTAAAGCTAGCTAGCGTCGCTCTTCTTAACCGAGGCACTGTGAACAACTGTGTAAACCGTGTCAAGTAAGTATGGTTTCCAACAATCTCTGCCTCCAGTTCAAGCTGGGAATGGATATAGTAGAGGTCACGCGCAGCCTGTAGAGGATTGTTACGAAGTTTCAACAAAGATTGATATGCTTCTGGATATCGTCCCTTCTTCATATACCAGCGGGGACTTTCTGGGCAATAAAAGATAAGGATACAAAGAGGCACAGCGGGTATGAATGCAGAGCCGAGTTGAAGACGCCAGGCTATTCGAGGAACGTTGGCAACTATTAAATTTGCGCAAAAGCCAAGAAAGATCCCGAAAGCATTCCATACTTGCCAAGACATAACGAGCGCACCTCGAATGGCTAACCGAACATTAGCTTTCAGGTCAAAATATCGAATCGGGGGGGAAAAAAGAGCGAGCGTACCTGCAGGTGAGTTTTCCGCCGCATATACCGGAACTGTCGAAGCCTTCGCACCCATCCCGAGTCCGAGTATAAGACGGCAAATAAAAAGTTCTTGCCATGTTGTCGTGAACGCACTGCCAATCACACTCCACAGACAGAAGTTTCCGGCAACAAAGATGGTTCCCCGGCGTCCGAAATAATTATTGAGAGGATCAGAAATCCAACAACCTACAAATGCGCTGCTGATATATGGGGCGGCATTGCAGAGTCCGACCAGCATTGTATCGCGGGTAGATTTCCCTCCAATGTCGAAGAGGTCCGGGAACGATAGATTTGCACCGTTTGAGCCTGTATTTGTTTATCATTATTTATTGTTTCACGACAGATAGAAGTATTTAGATCACAGCTATAATAATTATGAGCCCACTAGGACAGTGAGGAGACAACCGAGGTTGCTCCGATTTGAGTCGTTGTAAGATTTGTATTTGGCATAACTTCGAATATTTGAAATCACCTTGATTCTTGTTCTCAAGCCCCATTTTCAGCGCCAGCATGAAAGATTGTAGTTAACTAACCTGTTTGGTCCCATCCTTGAACGGCAGCTCTGTTACGATGAAAGTCAGAGAGCTAAACAAGTAAAGTGCTCAGGTAGGGTGGAGACATACCAATGGAACATGTAATAATAGTGATATACAACGCCCATGGCTGTTTCCATTTATGAAGGATTTCGTCCCTCAAGCATTCAATCTCTTCTTCATTTAGGGCATTTTCACCTCTAATATCTTCGTAATTTGTTGGATCTTGTGCCACCAGCGCCCCTTTAATCAATATTGGAAGGACACTGAGCAATTGATGCTTAGTTGCAAATGCTTTAACCTGATCGTATAGTAACGTCGTTGGAATTCCAGATAATGGATTCTGGATCCTGTTTTGAAGGGTCAGTAAATTTTAGAGTATTGTGAGGGTTCGAGGCAATTCTCACTTAGCATCTAAATTGCTGTTCAGGTTGATATGGCGCTGATTCGCTTCGATTTCGACGGTATAACCACCCGCATCATTACCAGTAGCCTGCGACCGTGTCCTTGGACTTTTATCAGTGAACATGAAATATGAAACTCGCCACAACGAATATCAAATGCAACATACCATTCCGGATGAACAAAATTTACATGTTCTTCGAGGTATTTTGGTTCTGGCATTGTACACAATTTCCGTCCAATGTCTTGAAACGAGCGATAAAATGACAATTTATGAAAAGCGGGGATAAGACTTACATTTATACCACCAGTAATGCAGCCTCTTATCGTTTCCATACTACCCAAGCGACCCTGAGAAACAATGGCTGCCCTAATATGCAAAATACTGACTTAATCCTGGTTTGACGTATTTGCTCTCATCAATGTGCGTGAACGTAAGGCACGAGAAGGCTGCAGTCCAATCCTGAATGGCACAGTTTGTGTGTAGTCTGACATTATGAATACAGCATCCCCCTTGTACCAAAGGAAAAGGGTGGTTTCTAGAAGTTGAGGCTGACAAGTCACTAGACTCTAGGCCAATTGCCTCCAAGGCAGTACGTAGGGCGGGTGAATAATTAATTTGCTTGTCTAATACTTCCAATGAAAATCAAGAGCGACAAGCCCATCCTGCAAGGGGAAGTATCAATGTGAAAAGAGAGTTATGAAAAAACACAAACTTCGAAATGGCTTGTTCGCTTGCGCTGAGATGTCCCGTCTCTATTCGCATAAATTAATCATATGCTTTATATGAAGGCAACAGCACAAATATTCCCCGACGCGGGGCCCCGCCAAGTATGCAGAGTTAGGCTGTATAGCCACGATTCGTGGTACACTGTAACTGAACCACATGTTTTCCACAACAAAATTCAGCCTCCGTCATTCGCATAGCCTAGTGATTGCTGACCACACTGGAAGTCAAGGAAGTAGACAAGCTTCATGCGACCACTTACAAGATACAGAACAGATAGCCACTACGTAAAATCCTCATGGCAAAGTCGTTTGGCCTCGAATCAAAATCAGGTAGATGAATAAAATCTCAATTCTCTAATCAAGATTTCATCAGCTCTCGTCCAAAAACAATAAGCTTGCCTGTAATTCCGAGTGATTTGAATCCTCTTTGATTCAAACCACCTCTTTCAAACACTCCCATGATGCGTCATGCATTTTGCTGCACAGGGTTTATCTCTCTATCGAATGAGTGATCCAGAAGCAACTTTGTATCCGATCTATAAAAAAAAGGCATGATGATAGAAACGTGCAGCTAATCGTACTTACGGTAGTATGATAAATGAGTAATGGTAAAGTAAACAAAATTGGATGAGGAGTTATTGTACCGGTCTGACAGTTCTATAAGGAATTGGCTATAGGTCGAATTAAGCACAGATTACATAATAATCGTTCAGTCATGTGACTCAAGATAAGATAAGCTTTAATGTTTGATGTTGCATTGCTTAAATGCATTTCAAGATTGAGATTTCATTCGATCCTCTAGGCAACTATCACGTCGACCCACCATACTTCAGGCTTTTTGATGAGTAAGGTTATGTTTCCCGGTAAGAAGATATTGTTGCCGTCATGGCACCTCCAGCTAAGAGACGGAAGCGCAATGTCATTGAATCCTCTCCCCATTCCTCTGATAACGAGGACAATGAATCGATTCAGGTGAACAAGTTCAAAAGTCGATTGAGTAGTTTGGCACATTCTCCTCCACCAAGATCGAGCTCTTCTGAGCCTGCCCCAAAGTCTATGTCGCAATCCAGTAATTCCACGAGATCTTCTTCTTTTTTGAAACCTCCAACAAAAGCGACCATTCAACCTCCCAATGCTGCCTCGATCCACTTACCAAATCATCGCAAGAAGTCCATTACAAAGAGTCCCAGTACAAGTCCAGAGAAACCAAGAAGTAGAAGAAAAGTTGAGGAGAAGCGGCAGAATGCAGATATTAATACACTGTTTGCAAGGCAATCACAGAGGCAGCAGGCACAAACGGAAGGCGAGACGATACCTAAACAAAGAATTAAGGTTCTCAATTCGAGAGATATTCGACAGGAGGCTGATTTGCTAGATGATTTAATATCAGATGATGACGATGTTGGAGAGAGTCGAGCGCAAGCAACTAGCATTGTTGGGCAAGCCGCCAAACGGGGAATTGGAAAGAGCGTATTCACAAATTCAGGTACAAACACACCCAGCGCTAGTCAGAGATTTGTAAGACCGTCTCAGGGTTCCATAATAGAACGTGTGGCCGAGGAAGAGGATATACGACCTTGGGCTGAACGCTTTGGGCCAAATAATCTGGAAGAGCTTGGAGTTCACAAGAAGAAAGTAATTGATGTTCGAACCTGGCTTGATAATGTTATAGGAGGGCAGATGAGACAGCGGTTATTGATCTTGAAGGGTGCTGCCGGAACCGGTAAGACGACGACAGTACAGCTGTTAGCTAAAGATATGGGGTGTGATGTTCTAGAATGGAGGAACCCTGTTGGAACAATCGCTTCCTCAGACGGCTTTCAGTCAATGGCTGCACAATTTGAGGAGTTCATGGATCGGGGTGGAAAATTTGGTCAACTAGATTTATTTTCCGACGACCTTGGAGATACTCCAGCAAAAGCAGAAGTAAAACCGTTGGATCGAAGGAAGCAAATTATACTAGTCGAAGAATTTCCAAACACTTTCACACGTTCTTCGAGTGCCTTGCAATCATTTCGATCTGCGATACTTCAATACCTTGCCTCTAATACTCCTCCTCTCTCAATGCCATACAATCCTAAAGCTAAAAGTGATCCTATCACTCCTGTGGTAATGATTGTATCAGAAACATTGCTTACAACAACCTCGGCGTCTGCAGACAGCTTCACTGCTCATCGTCTTCTTGGGCCAGAGATTCTTCAGCATCCGGGAGTAGGAGTGATAGAATTCAATGCTATTGCCCCGACCATATTAGCAAAAGCTCTCGAGACGGTGGTACAAAAAGAGTCGAGAAAATCAGGCAGGAAAAAGACACCAGGACCTCAGGTATTGAAAAAGCTTGGCGAGGCAGGCGATATCAGAAGTGCAATTGGCTCTCTGGAGTTTATGTGTTTAAGAGGAGATGTCGATGACTGGGGAGGCAAAGTTGTTTTTGGCAAGGGAAAGAAAACAAGCAAAGATACATCTTTGACAAAAATGGAAGAAGAGTCGTTGGAACTGATCACGCGTCGAGAAGCTAGCTTGGGAATCTTCCACGCCGTCGGAAAAGTTGTTTACAACAAGCGCGAAGGAAAGGTATCAGACGATGTGGAATCTTTGCCACACTTCATATCCCATCACTCTCGCCCCAAGAAATCTGAAGTAGGCATAAACGAGCTTATCGACGAGACTGGCACCGACACACCAACCTTCATTGCTGCCCTTCATGAGAATTACATCCTTTCATGCGAAGCACCACCTTCTTCCTTCGAATTCTCATCACTCGATCATGTAAATGGTTGCATCGATGCCCTCTCTGACAGTGACCTCCTCTGTCCCTCTTGGGACGGTTCTCTCCAATCTTCCGGCTTCGGTGGCGGCATTACAGGAACCGGAGGCGACATTCTCCGCCAAGACGAAATGTCCTTTCAAATTGCCGTCCGCGGTATTCTCTTCTCACTCCCTCACCCCGTATCCCGAAAAGCACCCGCCGCGGCCGGATTCAGAACTGGCAAAACAGGCGATGCACATAAAATGTTCTATCCCACCAGTCTCAAACTCTGGCGCATGAAAGAGGAAATGGAAAGCACATTAGATCTCTGGGTTACACGGTTGATGAAAGGAGAAATTGATCCTACGAATACCCATTCGTCAAGTATTACATCTGGCGCTGCAGCATTCGCTCGTCCAAAAGCTGGCATAGTCGAAAGCTGGAAAATCAAAAACGCCGCTCCACTGCCCTCACAATCAAAATCAAAATCCAAGCCCAACACCCCAAAAGAAGAAGACAACCAACCGCTCCTCACCCTCGGCGTCTCCGCTCGTACAGAAATGCTCCTCGAGCGCCTCCCCTACATGATCCAAATCACCAAATCCAGATCCACCCCCCACCAATCCCGCAACCCCTTCTCCTCCTCCGCTTCCACCATCACAAACTTCCAAACCAACCCCCTTCTCGCCTCCCTCTCCAAAATAACAACCTTCACCGGCATCGGTCCCGCGCAAACCTCCGATGATCCCGCCTCCCTTTCCGACGACGAATCTCCCGACCCCAATTCTGAAAATTGGGCCACCGATAAACCAAATGGTGATGGTATGGGTACACCTCGGAAGAAGAAGCGAGGTGGAAACATGGGGATCATGATGAAGAAAGGGATTGGTAGTCAGAGAGCAATGCCTGTGCAGCAATTGGAGCAGAAATTTGTTTTGAGCGATGATGATATTGAGGATGATTGAAATCTGGATTGGGAGTGATGTTTGGAAGGTGTGATAATCACGGAGGTCTTGGGTGGTACACTTGAGGTGTTGATGGATGAAGGGCATGTATTTTTATGACCGGGGGCGAGATAGTTTGGCGTTTACTTCTTTGTACTGTACCTCCAAAATTAGGATTAAGATCGAGTTTTCACGGTGTTTCGTTTCTTTTACTAGTTGTCATTCCCCAAAATATCAAGCTGCTTATCTCTATACACTGCATTCTTAGTGAACATGTATAACTGCCTGAATGATTTCGACCAAAGGCTTTATATTTACTAATGAGTGACTATATAACAAAGCTCTAGGTGTTTCTTTGGTTGTTTAAGTACAAGCAGAAAAAGCACAATGAAGTATATGAGTATGATCAAACCTCTCCACCACATTAATTTCTACCACACCGAAACATTTTTATCTGACAAAAAAGAAGGGAGAGACAGTGTACCCGATCTGAGAACAAACACTAAAGCGGAGTAAACCTCCACACAATGGATGATTCAAAAGTCGATAAAAAGAGAAGATTTTGGCGATAACAGCCTCGAAAATATATCACCTCTCGCATAACATAATGCAAAAGTAGTAACTATGATCTGTCCAAAGTACTGAAGATAATCCTCAGCTTAGGATGACTCGTTATGGTAGAATAGCTTTTCGAAGATAATGTTGATTAAACAGAATGAACATGTCGTAATTCGACGAAGGGAAATCCCAATTTACAGCGAGAGTGTGGACAATACAAGCTTGACTTTGTATCTGCTGAATGATGTAGAACCAGTGTAAGGTGTCCATAGATATGAGAGACTGAAAACCGGAAAACAAAAGGCCCCGGAGGATATGTTGTACTGTTATCTTGGTTGCATAAAATCTTGTCTTTGTGAAGATCGTATGAAGACCTGAACACAAAAGGCAATATGACAAAGCAGGAAAAGCAAATGATGAGTTGTAGGTAACTTAGCGGTAGGCACCACCGTATCGAACGTTGGTTGGTGGCATACGTGGTGGTGGAGCGCTGCTGATTGTAGGGCCAGAGCCTGGGCCTGGACGAGTTTGAAGGGCAGGGTTGGTGCAGAGCATACCAACTCGGGAGCCGAATTTCGAACCACGAAGAGAGACCATGTGCTTGCGAATATGGGAAGCAACAATTTCCCGATGTTGTGGGTTGGAGTGCTGCAAAATGTATTGGATCAAGTAATTGCCATATTGATCACTGGCAATATCAATCAAAGGAATGCGGGGACGATCGAGGCGACCTTCACAGACACGATCAAGGTAACGACCAAGAAAGTCGACACCGCCAATCTTGAGACACTTTTCGACAACCTTGGAAGCAAATTGATCCATGCTGTATTCGGAAGCGTAGCGGATAACATGGTCAATAGCCCGGCTGCGATCAGCTGGTGCTCCATGCTCGCAGATATGTTGAATACACCAATTACCGAACTGTCCATGGGCGACAATGTCAATGCTAGCAAGGACTTCTTCAATACAAGGACGCTGTGGTACAATTAGTCCCAATCCGATATGAGGTGAATATACAGACATACCTTGTCTTCTTCCAGGCAGTTCTCGAAGATATTCTGAACAACCAAACTGCCAGTCTCACCAAGAGCGACCTCATGCCACATACCACGAAGAGCTTCATTGACGTACTTCATGATCTGAGGTGGAGACTCAGTCCAGCGAAGTTCAAACAACTTCTGCCAGACATGGCAAGCGTATCTATGAATGACAGTTTCTGGAATTCTACGGAGCAGTTCATGGACCATAATAGCCTTGTAATCTTCTGGAACAGAATCAAAAGCCTTTTGGACAACATGGCAACCAAAAGCATCCATAGAGAGATTGAGAGTATTGCCACGTATAGCCTCTGCGATCTTGATGACTTGCTCTGGAGTACCGTGCTCGAAGCATCGTTGAACCAAGAAGTTTCCAAAGCGATTGACCATTAGAGGATAAGCCTGGGCAACAATAGCCTCGACAATATCATATTTCTGCTCAGTTGTACCAACCTTGAGCTTCTGTTGCAAGAAGATCGAAGCTTGCTGATCATTATTGCAAACAATCTTGTCAACAATATACTTCCAGTTACAGTTGACGGTTCTGTCCAGAAGACGACGATAGTTCAATGGCTCGGTGGTTGGTAGATAAGTTTGGTGACCTTCATTAGCAACCGACTGAAGATGAGTTAGTGAATGTTGCCTAATCAATCGATTGATGCCTACCTCAGTCTTCCATGTTCCACTTGCTGAAGTGAACTCTGGTGCATGTGGCGAAAGAGGTGTGCCTATTGGCTGAGGCTGGTAGCCTGAGTACATTCCACTTCCCATGTTCATACCCATGTTCATCTGATTGCCCAGTGGAGTTGGGATTCCCCCCATTGATCCGTAAGCACTTGAAGCTGGTGTAAAACCTTCAAAGGAACTTGAGCTGCTCGAGTAAGGAATGGAACCTAGATTACGATTGTTATTGAATCTGTTGCCATTGTTACGACGGACTCCAGCACCGGGCATTGCCATATCATGCTCGTATCTCTCGCCACGAAAGGCATTTGGAGGTGGTCCACCAAATGCCATGTTTGGCTCAACGAATGGTTGATTGCAACCACTACGACCCATCCATTGTCCAGAAGTATGTGGATCAGAAGGTTGAAAGGAAGGCATTGGTGGAGCATTCGAAAAATTTGGTTTATTGTTGCCCCAAATAGCCCGAGTACGGTTGTAGCCACTTGCGGAAAGAGCATCACTATGGTCCGAATGTGCATCTTCCTGGTTGGCCCAGGAGCTTTCACGAGTGACGTGAGGACGAAAATGATTTGGAGGGATACCGGCAGAGGGGTCAGAAACATTTCCGAGAGGAAAGTCGGCTTCAGAAACACTACCAATAGCTTGGTCAATAGTGTGCTTTGTGATACGGTTTTGTGCAAGCTCTTGGTCCATGCGTGCAATTCTTCCTTTTGCAGCCTCCAACTCAATCTTGAGACGTAGAACCTCTTCAGCACTAGGCTGATTATCCCCATCACCACGACTCTGAGGACGAGTAGTTGGAGCAGTTGTCGCTGTGCCAGAGTCAAAATTTTCCGTAGCAGGTGTGATTGGGACAGAGGTAGGAGCAGAACAGTAGTCGAGGGTTCTTGAATTGTTCGAGCTATAGTCATCTGAATTCCTCAAAGCTTCATGCTGGCGATTGAGAACCGCTTGTTGCTCCGAAAGCTTGGCCAATAATTTATCGACAGGATTTGGCGAGTTGTCGAAAGTGGGACATTGGAACGAAGGAGCAGTGGTAGTAGGGGCAATGAAAGTCTCGTGGCTTAACTTCATCTTCTGTATCCGTTAGTATGCATTAAAGTATTGAGTGGATGAGATTTTTACCTTAGGAGCAGCTTGGTTGCCCAACTTGTTTGTAGAAAGAGCTGTAGCGGCCTTCTTGAGAGTATTAGCATTGTCCTGAATAATATTGGTCAGTAAGATATGCGAGATATTTAGAAAATGAGATTGCATAGACGGCGTTTGATTGGAAGGTAAGCAGCAAGGACTCTGCTAGTGAGCTCACTCAAGAAGAAATGGTCAAATTTTATTAGAAGGGGGTGGGTGTCAGATGCACAGAAATGGCAATCAATAAGGAAAAGGACGGGAAGAATTGAAGAAGATGCAAACTCACCATTCTTGTTGTTAGTTTATCAACAGCATCGTCACCGAATCCAGGGTTTTCATGGCTGCTACGATCAATTGTACGACGAAGGGTTGGCGATCCATTGGAAGCGACTGAGGAAGCCATGTTGCTTGTGAGATATCTTGATGAGTGGCTTTGAAAGGAAAGTAACGATCCAATGCAGATTGTGCAGACTGAATAGATCGGAAACGATTGTTGAATGGCTCACTCGTAGATGAGTTGAAAGTAGATGAAGAGAAATGAAGGTATTGAAGATCAAGAAAACAAATAAGAGTCGTAGCTCTATGGGAGAATTAGATAGAGAAGTAACGTCTATCCTTGGCAGCTGCTCTATCCTTTTTATCAAATGGCATGCAAAAAAATGAAAGTATAATCCACTATATTTGGAATTGAGGTTTAGAGAAAGAATGAAGGTCCCGTCGTTGTTGGAGAAAGAAAAAAAAGGGTCGAAAGTGATTTTGTGCGGGTGTTCGGCAAGCTTTATATTCACTCAGAGAATCTTACACTCACCTCACTCTATCGTCTCGCATATTTCAACTCTAAAGTCTTTTTATGATTGGATGGGCAGATTTTTTCATCGATCAAATAAATATGAGACGCAAGTAGAGTAAGAGGCTCTATGAAAGAGGAAAGAAATTCAAGTATTGCAAGAGAGAAAATCCAGAAAGCTCGATGAATACAAAGTTCCAGCATGGTCGCTCTTGCCCCTTCATTTCTGTACTAGTACCGCTCAAATTCCCTCATGAATAACTTCTCTGAAAGAATCTTAACTACTTCCAAAGTTTACAGGCGATGAATCTAAATTACCTTTCGGGCTGAAGTATCAAACCAAGATTTGTTGCGAGAATACCGTCTGCCCATGATGGTCATATAAGGAAATAGCAACTTGTATAGAATTGTAGAAAGTACGACAGATCGTTATGTCCTCTGATCATGCCTAAAGATGGTGGTAGATATGAATAGTACTTAACACATATGACCCTCTTTGATTATGTATACTTCCACGTTGAATAGAAAGATATCATATATGGCTCAAACTTTCATCATGGCCTTGAAAGTCTAAGCCATAAGCTGACAGGGAGGGATTTGAAGTCGAAATCGGCGTAATCTCAATACTTCATAGCCATGGAAGGAGCTAGTTGATTCCAAGGCTGCAATCACTTGCAGTATTGTGACTTCTAGCCGAGATTTAAATGCTTTCAGGAGCAATGTATGCAGATTCATAATAATCTTTCTCATTTGACTGAGCTTCTGCAATTTGCGTTCAAGGTCCTGGCAATAGTTCAGGAAACCCTCCACCAAGCCCCGTCCCAAGAGCTGAGCCCAAACGCCAGTAATGCTACAGTTGTAAAATGCTGTACAAGTTTTGTTCAGGATATAACGCTTATCCTCATCTACCTCTTCTTTCCCTTGAACTTCTTGGAATCTGAGTAAATTTGTTAGTAAATGCCATCATGCCCGCAGTGGACCACATACCTTCTGCCGTCCTCTTCTTTTTTGGTGCTCCCTTTCCTCTAGCTTTCAGACTACATTACTGTTAGTAGGAGTTTCCAGACACTGATCTAGATGATACACATACATTGTAATATGTTCAAATCTATCTTCCTCAGCATCATCATAGGTCTCGACGTCATATTCGTCATAAGCTTTCTGCAGATCCTTGATTGTAGCCATCTTTCGTGGGTAGTATGCAGCCAACGCCGGTCCCTTTAATCTTTGTCGAAGAATCTTGTTTCCTGTTCGAAGTCTATCAGGATTGAATGTGGTTGAGAAGATCCGGCATTGGACCTGTACAACTGAGATTAGTCCTGAGTTCCCGGCTTTAATATTATATAGACCAATACCTTCATCAATTCCAGCACTCTCGACTTCGCGACCGACATGTTTATTGGTGATATAGGCTTGGATTTGCTCTTCAAATCTAGTTGTTCATCAATTCTATAGATTTTAGCGGCCCTTTCCGGGATTTCGGGCCTTGATTGATCCGGGTATCACGTGCCATCCTCGAAGTTCTGGTTCGCGACTTTCAAATCTTCTACTTTGTCGATTGTTGACGATTTTTTTCGGTTTTTGATGGAATAATCTGAACCCATTTTTTTCATTGATCGATTAAATCATCTTTCAGCAATTTCCTCTTCATTTCATTGAGATTTACTGTGAACAATTACTTGTCCTTCAAGCATTGTAATGGTGCATGCATCCGACTCAGAAGCAAATTTGGGAAACCCAGTCAAGTTAGAAATGACATCTAAACGTCCATTTCCCTTCGAGAATGTCAGCGGTAAGGAGCACAAGAAAAGAAACGTAAGTCAAAACTCTTAAATACATCCACACTCTAATTCAAATATCAGATCAATTCTTTATCGCATAAGAAAATCTCCCAATTATTGGGTGCATTAGAAGAACTTCTTGGGGAAGACGATGTGGGCGAAGTTGAGGCCTTAATGGGTGGTGCAGCATTTTCGGGAGCAACCGAACTTCGTAGTACACTACGAGACCAAGTGCAGTCAGACTTGAATAATACCAGCCATAGTGGTTCTGGGGACTCTAAGGTTGAAAGTTCATCTCAAGAACCTGTCATTGGAAACCCGGGGACAATATTAACAGCTCTACAAATTACACCATGGACTTTGTCTTCCATTCCATCAAAACTTCCGCCCCTTCCAGAAGTGTATGATCCTACTCTCGAGCTGGCTTCGTTCACTCACCATGGCCGTACTAATGGTAGCGTTACTGATTTAAGCTATGAACGCCTAGAATGGATAGGAGATGCATATATCTACATCATTTCTACCCTTCTCATATCACAGACATTCCCTGCCTTACTGCCTGGAAAATGCTCCCAACTTCGTGAAAGACTCGTCAAAAATGTCACTTTGGCTGATTTCGCACGAAAATATGGTTTCGAAAAGCGCGCGAAATTGCCAGAAGATATTCTTCACCCTATGAAGAACGGAAAAAGTCAAAGCAATGGGAGATATTTTTTGAGGCATATGTTGCAGCTATCGTGCTCTCAGATCCGGAAAATGGAGTTTCACGTGCATCAGAATGGCTAAAGAGTCTCTGGGCCATGGTATTGTCGAAAGAAATCCAACAAGAAGAGCGGAATGAGGATAAATTGGATAGCCCCTTATGGAGATTAAGAGGAAATGTTGACCATGTCCAGACCAAAACTAAAAGCGTGCTTAATCCCAAAGAGAAATTACAAAAGGCCCTCAGTTCGAAAGTCAGTAAATTGACATATAAGGATATTGGAACAGCCAAGAAGGACAAGAATACTAAACTCGCAGTGTTTACAGTGGGCGTTTTTCTTAACGGATGGGGTGAAGTTGACAAGCAGATTGGGTTTGGAAGTGCCAATGGCAAGAAAGAAGCCGGCTTCAAAGCCGCGGAGATGGCGTTGAACAACAAGAAGATGATGGCCAAGTACTTGGAAAAGAAGAAGATCTACGATGCACAACAGGAAAGAGAAAGAATTGCGCTTCAAAAACAAGAAGAAAATCGATCATGATCAACAACTACAAAAGGAAAATTATGACCTCTAAGTCAGGTGGTCAGTAAGGGTTCTCATCTTGAGGGACATTGATAGACAAATAAGGATTGCTTGGATTGCAGCGGTCAACATGAATTCGGGTTCATTGCAGTGCATCTCTTTAGAAGTTACTTGTTGGCAGAGAATAGATACCCAAGAATTAAGTTTTCAGATAGGACACGAAATAATTAACATAGCCGCCTCTTCATGAGCTACCTGTGTGAAGGCGTTCATGAGGTGTTCGAATGCATCCATCATACATACTTTCAGCGACCTTGGATCCATTCTCAAGCAATCAACTAATGTGTGTTATCATTTTACTGGTTGTTCCCCTTGCGCTGAAAACATCATTGTGGATCATTGAGTGAAAACCCTCGAGAATCCTTACAAACACTTGTCAATTGACACTTCTACATGTCTCATATTCCCGTCTCTCAGGAACTGCGATATATTCTGTTCTTCAATATTGTCACTCAAAGCAACCTTTCACAACATATACAAAGTCCCCGAGTCAGGGGTGTGAGTAACGATCTCAAGGTAAGATTACTAGCGCGGTCCTTTCCGGCACCGCTGATCCTTGTAATTTCTCTATTTCCTCGAGCCTCGGTTGGTCATTGCAGGTACAAACGCGAAAAGATGCGCATGATTATCATTTAATATTTGCATTTCCTTTCATTTCAGATCTCCCACTTTGCTATCTAGAATAATATTCCTTTACTTTTTGAAACATTTGGTCCAAGTTTGTGAAGATCGCATTTCCTGGCCGAGAATCAAGTCATTGATTTATAACATTGGGCTGGGACATTTTGTGCTGAATAGATGAGAGAGGGAGGAACGCTCTGGAGATAAGATGGCGGATTCTGTGGGTAAGTAATGCGCTGTCGGTTTCCTGATGACGATACATATCTGCCCTATCCTACCAAATCTGCCCTGAACTGCTGCAGAGATTCCCAATTGTACAAGTCTGACTCTGCCCAAAATGCCAGACCGAGTATCGTCCACGCGCTCAACACAGTAAAAAAGATACCCAAGACTGGAGCATCGCGGCCCGCCTCCTGCAGATCGATTACGTCTCTATGGATTGTACAAACAGGCTATGGAGGGGGATGTGGATGGTGTCATGATGCGGCCGAGTTCTAGGGGTGAGGGTGAAGATGGGGAGGCGGGACTACAGGGAGAAGAATTAAAGAGGGAAAGGGATAAATGGGATGCGTGGGATGCGCAGAGAGGGGTCAGTAGAACAGAAGCGAAGAGGAGGTATATTGAAGCGTTGATTGATACCATGCATAAGTATGCCAGTACTACTGCGTAAGTCATGGATCTCCTGCCTTTGGAGCGCAATCCGAGGGGGTTGAGAATAAGCTAATTTCAGATGTGGCAATGCAGAGATGCGAGAGAATTGGTTGCGGAATTAGAGTTTGTCTGGGATCAAATTAAAAATAATACTCCATCATCCACGGGATCTTCGCCCGGCCATCGCGTGCCATCGTATACGACTCAACCGAGACAATATCTAGAACCAGTGTCAGGGACTGACGGCGCAATGAGAGTATTGAGTCCAATGAGCCAGGACGATGAGGCGGAAAGGGAATCTGAGAGACGATTGGGACGCAATGGTGAAGATGAAGAGGTATATACCGACGGCAAAAACAACAAGACGAAATGGAGGAAGAGTGTGGAACAAGCGCTAGTGAAGATGACAGCTGAGATCGCAGCATTGAGAGAGCAGATTGCTACGGGAAGAGAATACCAGGGCAAGAAGTCAAGGTCTCCAAGAAAATGGCTGGCTTGGTTTATATGGATCGCCATCAAACATCTTCTGGTGGACATGGCGCTATTAGGTCTCATTCTATTATGGATGAGACGAAAGAAGGACAGGAGAGTGGAGGATCTCGTAAGAGAAGGACTGAGGATTGGGAGGGAATACGTGAGGAAAGTCTTACCTTCTCGGTGATAAGAGATCGATATTTGAAAACTTATAACTTTATAATAAACGACCAAGAGCGAATACAATTGTCGGACGTTCTCGCTTCACATTGGACGACACAATATTCAGAAATCGGTCAAAGACTCCTTACTAAAGATTGAATTATATTATACCCATCAAAAAATTCCAATACATATATCACCACGATCTATCAAGTCGCTCTTCGCACAGAGGTATCTACGAAGGCATACCCTCCATCTGCGCGGCACCAGGAATCTCGGAAAGCCACTTCACCCTCTCCTTAACAAACAATTCCCCCTTTGGAACATTCTCATTCGGCCAATTATCATCATCCAAAACGCCAGCTTTGAGAATTACTTGGTTGGGGAAAGAATCACCGGTGCGGTAGAGAGTTGTGCCACAATCACCGCAGAAGTGGGAAGTGACTTGATTGCCGGAATCGGCTTTCTTGCTGATAGTCTTGGGGTTTCCTGGAGGTGTTAAATGGTGGACTTGTGGGATTGGATATGAGTGCAAAAGGGAAAGAGGGGAAGAACGGGGAAATGGGTGGGGAATGGGAAAACGCTGGAAGGCATGGGAAATACAAACCAGATTCAAGTTTGAATTGTCCTTCGGGTAATACGATGTTGTTACTATAAGTAGCACCTGTAATCTTTCGACAATCGGTACAGTGGCATAGGAGATGGGCTCCTGGCTCGCCGGTGTAGCTTATGCGGATCTATGAGATTTTCGCAGTCAGCATACATGGAATAAGACGGCGGTGGGCGGTTGTGTAATATATATATTGTAATCTTATAATGACCTGAGGCAGATAGGTATTGGGAGGGAGGGGCAAAATACCGCATAACAGAAACATCCTCCTGATGGCATTTTCGAATTAATGGTATATTGCAGTTGAGAAAGGTTAGACGTAGTGTTGAGTAGTTAATAAGATGATTGTAGATATGGATTGCTGGCTGTCTGTTTAAGAAACGATATATATATACCTCCTCCTTCCCCTACCAAACCCATAATATCAAAGTTCCAAAACATGAATACAAATCATCCACTGCCTTGTTCCGCTCATCCTGAGCTCGGCAGCAATACTATCAAGACAATGGGGGGCGGTAGAGGTCAAAACTCGAGCTAAGGGGTGCGGAACAGATGAAGCTAGGCGTTAATATTCCTTTCTTCCGAGACGGGAGATCTTCTGTGGAGTCTAGCGGTGCATATTTGGAATGAGATTTGGAGGGATGTGAAATGGCAATTTGGCAGTTGGTGAGATGGGATGGGGTGGACTATTAGATGTTATCTGATATTATGATATTGGATGAAAGGAGGAGGAGAAAGGATGGATTCACTGGGTTGGAGTCTCTGGTAGATACCCAATTAACAGAAAACAACAAAAGTGAATTTCGATTTTTAAAAATCTTTGGTAATATAATAAAAAGTTAGTACAGAGTGAATCAAAACCACTTTCATGTTCAATTAATAGACAAATTCAATACCTGCAAGAACAACAATGATAGATAGCAAACTTGATCGAACAAAGCGCATCGGCAATTCTTTGGCCCCTCTATCTTCCTTCCCACAACTGAAATTTATTATCCCCAGGTACAGAGTAACCTTAACTCACCACAAAATTCTAGTCCTGAACACAGCGTTTCGGCGTTATCCAGAGTTACCCAGCGATTCCTGGAGTTTAAAGAAAACCGTCAAAGCATAGAGATCAATGGTCGAGCATATCTGTGTAAGAATTCCAGGCTTTCTATTGGAATAGTTCCAAGCCCGCGTTTCACGATGGGTCAAACTTCGGACTTAGGAACGCGTCCACGAGATGTAAGTTGAAACCTCACGTTCACACGTGATATTGATTACATTCCTACTCCTCTCCTTACTTGATCTTCATTTTCGTATTTCATATTTACCTTCAGAGAGTGAAGACTAATAAATTATCAGACGCCTCTGGATACCCGCAATCAACGCTTCAATCTTTGTCGCTTTCAACGGATTCCCAACTGGACCCCCTGCACCCACTGATCGCGAAACTAAGATCAAGAATCTCAAACGGCATAATCGTCTTGTTCGTGCGAATATTGTTAAAAGCTTTCGTGGCTGAGAAAGAGAGGCTGTTAGAAAAGTTTAAAGACGATGTTGCGAAGCAGAAGGATGCTATTGCAAGAGGAAGAGCTAATCGAGTCGTAATTTCGATCAAGCAGGATGCGAGGGAGAGGAAGAATGGAAGGGAACTTGAAGATCTCTCGTGGTTGAGAGGTCCAAAATGGTTGTTAGAATTGCAAGCACAGGATAGGAGGAGTGGAGTCAATGAAGTTTCCCCACAGGAACTGCAGAATAGGGATAGGCGATTGAGGAAGGAAATGGAGGGGCATAAGAGTGAAGAGTACGAGTGGAATTCTAAGGATTTCCGCGGCTCTGCTCCTGAGAGTGAGACTGAGGAAGATATAGATGGTAGTAGGGATAGCGAAGGAGATGTTGTGATGGGAGGATTGGATTCATCGAGTGTGTCGCCCACAGAACTCAGTACTCCGTCTAACACGACGGCACTTTTTGAGCTCGAACAAAAGCTGGACCAAGACCTTCAGCGATTATTGAAAAAGGGGATCAAGAAGATAAAGGAGTACGATGCTCATGCGGAAAATTCCTTGACACAATTTAAAGACAAATTGGCGCAGGATATTATCAATGGCCTTGGATTGGACACAACGGAGGGTGAACCATTGAAGTACACAGGGTCGAAAACCAATCTACCAACTCCATCCGGGCCTCATGTGGGTATACTGAAAAAGAAGTCTGTTTCGATGCAAACTCCTATGGATTCACCAGCGAATATTCCGAAGAAATCAGTATCGATTCAGACTCCATTGGAGGGCGGGGCTGATTGTGGTAGTACTTCGAAGAAGTCGGTATCAACCCAACCTTCAAAAGAGAATGGTGGTAGTCCTTCAAAGAAACCTGTATCAATTCAAATACCATCCAAAACTCAGAATGGAGTTTCGGGAAGATCACTTGTACAAAGTCCAATGGATATTACTGGTAGCGCTTCGAAGAAAGTCCGTCTTGACGATCCCTTCTGGACTGGCCCTTCAAGTTCAAGTTCAAGTTCAAGTTCAACTCCGCTATCCATGAATACTCCAACCAGTGCACAGAGCCAGGTTTCTTTCCCGATGAATGCTCCTACGGGACCAGCAAAGTCCAGGCGTCCCTCAAATTCTTCGAGTGGGCCTCCTACTCCCAATGCACCAAATGTTCCGACAAGTCCGGCAAATCTTAAACATTCCAGGCGTCCATCAAGCTCGTCGACTCGACCGCAGAGTCCCAATATGTCGACCTTCCTCGCCGGCTCTGCGAATGCCAATTCATCTACACCTCGTCTTTCTCATTCTCGAAGTGCGCCAAAGGACTCTCCTTCTCCTCGTCGGCCATCTAATGCTGGTCTGCGAGGTGGTTTAGCTTCGCCGTCAATGGTCTCCACACCAGCGACAGATTCTAAAAGCACTGATTCTCACACTGGTAAAAGTTTCATATCATCATTCAACTGGCTTCCGGAGCTTGATGATCGATTTGATCTAAAAACTCTAATCGGGGATGAGATTGAAATCATTAAACATGAATCAAGGGACGACTATGTTGCATTTAACAAGACTTCGGGAAAGACGGGTCGTATCGATATCAAACATTTCATGCAGGACATCGAGCCCATCGGACTGCTTGGTTCAACTTTCATATCTTCAAGCCGATATGTTCCAAAATCTTACAACAACTTTTATGATTTAGAGATTGATCATGGTGATGAAGTCAAAATCACGTCGCATCACTCCGCCGATGCATTTGTAGGCTTCAATATGAGAACAAAAAGGGCGGGAATTTTGAACGCGAAATATTATCTGAAGGATATTGAAGACGCCGAACTTGGTAACAAAATCGCCACGCGATTTGGTCCAAGTTACAACGATAAAGACGATCCTCCTATTTCACATATCGGTAAAACCTTCAGAGCAACAGATACCCAGAGCCCAAAACATCCCAAAGATGTGGCTACTTTAAATATTAGAATTGGCGATAAGATTGAAATTACCAATTATACCAATGGAAACACTTTTGTGGGTTTCAACAAGAGGTCAAAAGAAAAAGGGCAATTCAATATGGACACTTTCTGGAAGGATATCGAGAAATCTAGTCTTGACCTTATTAGCGGACCATCCACATCCAAGAAAAACTCCCAAAACAGCAAGCATGTACACGTTGGCAAAACTTTCATTGCATCACACGACTATTATCCACGTAGTGATGCAGCTGATGACCTGCCCATAAGATATGGTGATGCTATTGAACTTGTCAGACATGACTTTGGTGACATATTTGAAGGATATAATACCAGAACAGATAGGATGGGGCTAGTCAATATCTTCTACTTCAAGAAAGACATCAATTCTGTTGGTAAAACTGGAGAATCTTTCTCAGCAACAGGGTCTCGACGTTCCGAAAATTACTCATATGATATTGGTATTCCACAGACTGACGGTAACAACGACTCCGAGTATTATCCCCAAATCAACCCCGCTGCACATGTTGGCAAAATTTTCATCTCATCACACTCTTGGCTTCCTAATAATGGCATTGATCTAGCAATACGTCTTGGCGATGCTATTGAAATTATCAACGACAATTTTGAGGGAAACTATGAGGGTTACAATACCAGAACTAAGAAGTATGGCCGATTTCAAGCCAGATACTTTCAGAAGGATATCGATGCTCTTGACTATATTGGAAAGATTTTCACAGCCACAAGCAGCCTATACGATCCGGATTTCAATGCCCTACAGATTAATTTTGGTGATGCCATTGAAATCACGAACGTCATAGGCCGAGATCTGTACACGGGAAACAACCTAAGCACCGGGCAATTGGGAGGCAAGTTCTACATTGATCAATTTCGAGAAGATGCCAAACGTGGTCATTATGCTGGTATCGATGAAAACCGAGGAAACGACGAACATCGCCACTTTGCTGGTGAAATCCCGGGCGACCATTCCGCTCATGAACCTCGAGATAATGATTCACCTGACAATTACATCAACAAAGTCTTCACAGCAACAAGTAGCCAAAGTCCTCGCGGACCTTCAGACCTCGTCACGCTATCCATCTCCATAGGTGACATGATTGCAATCAACAAATTCGTCTCCGGCTCCACGTTTCGCTGCTTCAATATTACGACTGACAAAACTGGACATGTCAAAATGGATAATTACTGGAAGGATATTGAGGCTAATCGGAGATTGAGAGATGCCATGGATGATAATTCGCCTGCTAGTCGAATCTCTACACCAGGTAACTTGGGGGGTGCTGTACACCAACAGCAATAGCAGCAAGAACAATCGGATAAGATTGAATTCACCATTAAAGGGGTTTCGCGAAACTTATCGCGTGGCAGGGGATCTTTCTAGCGAAGTGAATTGTACGATAAAGCGAGAAATGGGAAGAGAGATGGGGATTGGAATGAAAAGCATGGTGCATTTGACCAGGGGAGATGTACATATTTGGGTCAGAAATGGAGTTTTAGAACTGTGGTTCCTTCTCGAGGAAGAATGTTCGAAATGGGATTGGGGCGTCAAAAGTCTTTGACTTTCGGTTTAGAAGACAGCGGGTGGATTTTGTGGTGTTTTGCGTTGCATTGCATTGCGTTGCATGTGTGGGGGAATTTGATCGTATATCTCGAGAGTAGAGTAGGGGGTTTATAGATATCTAGATACTTAGATATTGAGATATCGAGTGAGATTTTTGCTCGCTTCTTTTCTCGTGGATGGATTGTTCATCTCTGGACTTTTATTAGTCCTTCGATGGAGGAATATTGATGGTGAGCGGGTGTGGATTTTAGTGGTTGGTAGACTAACTGACTGGCTGACTGGTTTATAATTTGGAGATGGTGAGTGTATAGATTTAGGTTTCTTGACGATAAACCTCATATGCTTCAGTATAGACTTGATTGGGATTGTTGATTTGTGACCCATGGCTTCAGAGGGTGAGATGAAGCAGGGGGCTTTGTCTTAGAAATATCAATCAGCTTGACTGTCATTGCATTGGATCTTGAACAAATAGTGCATGCAAAGCATTTCTGTGAAAGATTCTAGAGGAATGACTTCTTGATCCTATGAAACTCAATATTCGGAAGTCAAATTTAATAAATTAGTCTATCGATTATTTAAATTAATACCAGACACTATGTGCATTACTTTAAAAAATGTGCTACGCTTTAAAAACTGCTCAACTCTTAAAATCCAATCATCCTGAACGCCTTCGCTTAGAAAAACATGCACCCAACTCAACCATAAAACTATCCATATGCTCAAGCAGACCCTTCACCCGCACTTCCTCCCTCACCACCACTCTGTTCCCTCACCTTCCTCATTCTCTCCTCCGCAGCCTTCGCCAAAACCTCCCTCCTACTCATTCCCTGTCGCGAGGCCGCTCCCAAATTCGTCCCCGTACTTTCCGCGCCCCCCGAACCCCCAATCCCCAGTACAAATTCCCCTCCACTCCACCCCCCATGATCACCCACTTCCTCTCTACTATAATACTCCTCTTCCCCCAGCGCATGGCCTCCACTCCTCCAATCATTGCCCTCCACCTCCTTCTCAATCTCCTTGCACAGATTCCAAAAATTCCGATCATGCGGTCCCCAGACGTTATGCGCCAATTCGTGACAGAGCGTCTTGCGAATAGTTTTATAATCTCGATATCCATCATACGCATCTGTTCTCAGACGTAATTCAATCACCTCCCCTTGATTTCTATTCAAACCCAAAGTGCGCGATGTACCTTCATGATTCGAAACCGTATGTTCGATGGGATTCATTTCCGTAAGCAGAGGAACAGTGAATTTATGTTTGCGCATCGCGGCTTTGATGCCCGCGTCATCTTTCAGGCGTTGCAGAAATTGGAGAGATTTCGAGGGATTGGGGAGGTACGGAAGCGGACGCAGGGTTTGGAATGTGTATTGTGCTTCTTCTTGCTCGCGCTTCCAGTCTCGAGTTTTGTAGGCGGAGACTTTTTGCGCGGGACGGGTGGAGGGGCCATTAACGCTGCGCGAGGCGGCGAGTGCGCCGGCGGCAACGGAGGTTGCTTCGGCAATGGTGCTACCCATGAGGGTTATCTTTTTGTCGGCGAGGGATGTTATTGGGAGGGAAGGGTCCTTGAAGGGGAGTTTTAGAAGACCGAGTTTGGAGACCATGAGTTTTTGGTTTTGAGGGGGGATGGAGAGGGTGGTTGAAATGGAATCTGAAAGGTCGGTGATGGTTGCTGTGGGGGGTAGAGAGAAGATGTGAGGTTTGCCATGATGAGTGATGGATATGGAAACTAGATCTTGAGGATTAGTAGACATATCGTCGTTGTTGGTATCCATGATCTCTGCGATTTCCAAATCTTATAGTTTTGTAATTCACAGCACAATGCGAATGAATAGCACGACTGCAATAGATACCCAGTATGTGTAGAAAGAATGTATTATTGTATTGGAAGCTAAATAATATACATAGTTTATGTTAATACAGTAGTAATCATAAGTAGAACTTTCTAGGCAAAAAACCGCTTCGTAATCTCAGACGTCTTGCCACAAAAGTAAGCTAAAGATTACATAATCCACAGCCGTCCTTTGCCAAGCTTTCCGATCCGCCGCCGCCAATAACCTTACTTCATCATCCCTGGCCTGGTTGGTACCTTATTACAAGGCTAAATCGAGACTCAGAGTTAGCACTTAGCTAAGCTTCAAGTTGCGTGTCCTCAATCCCGTCCATCAACTACAACGACAACTGTGCGATTGAATGTGCTATATCAATTGATTTATTGATTTCAATTGTTTTGTTTGATTCTTGACTCGGTTCTATATCTCTTTTCTTTGAACCTTTGGGTCTTGAAACAAAGTATCTGCGATTGCGCATGTGTAGGGAAGCTCCCTTGACTTGCTCATCATGAATCTTTTTCGAATCCTGGGTATGTTATCCCCCAATTATCTTCGCACATTGAGATTCAAGAGCTGATTCATTGCGCTTGTAGGGGATTTCTCCCATCTGCTTTCAATCCTGATTCTCCTCCATAAAATGCACCAAACAAACGTACGTCTCCCGCCCTTTCCCCTCTCCACCCACCCAACCATCTAACCCCCTCCAGTCCTGCGCCGGTATATCCTTCAAGTCTCAAGCACTCTACCTCCTCGTCTACGTCACCCGCTACCTCGATCTCTTCTGGACCTTCACCGATTCCCTCTACAACACCACTTTCAAGCTTCTTTTCCTCTGCTCCTCCGGCTACACAATCTATCTAATGACCACCTCCTTCAAACCCACCCACGACCCCAATCTCGACACCTTCCGCGTGCAATATCTCCTCGGTGGTTCCCTCGTCCTCGCTTTCATCTACCCCTACGCCTATACCCCCTCTGAAATCCTCTGGGCCTTCAGCATCTGGCTTGAATCCGTCGCTATCCTCCCGCAACTCTTCCTGCTCCAGAGAACCGGAGAAGCCGAGACGATTACTGCGAATTATCTCTTCGCGTTGGGAAGTTACAGAGCATTATATATACCAAATTGGTTGTGGAGATATTTCCAAGAGAGCCACTGGGATGGAATTGCCGTGTTTGCGGGTGTGATCCAGACGGTTCTTTATTCGGATTTCTTTTGGATTTACTACACGAAGGTTATGAAGGGAAAGAGATTTACTTTGCCCGTATAAATTCCTTGGAGGGTTCTATTGCGTCCAAGCTTTATTTTACGAAAGCAGAGATCGACACAAGAGGAAAGAGGATGCGCAAACAAGTCAGTTCGCGAAGGAGGCGAAGACTCACAGCAGAAAAGGAAACACCTGTACGACAATTGGCTCTTTGTCAAATTGGAACCGCAGACAAAATGAGATACGATGAGCATGGTTTGGCGTTGAATGGAGACGGGTCTAGATTCTGCTCGAGGCATAGCAGGGTATGGAAATGAGGCTCAAGTTTTCTCCGGCAATTTTGTACAGTATTTGTAAAATGCATAGAGTATGTTCTCTGACCCATTGAAAGTGTAAACTAAGCCCTAAAGTGATTGAAAAGGTAAACGTATTGGTCTACTTCATGTCAATTCACAAGCTTCACATTATCGTGCATTCTATCCACCTCCCAAAACCCGGTAATAGACATCATCATTTTCTTAATTTGTCATTTTTTCATTTGACTGCCTACAACCCATATATACACAAACACCATCGTTTGACGCACGCAAGAAACCCAAATACAAAAACCCATCCAGATCAAGATCAAGGACCATAAGCGACTCTTCCACGAGGATTTTCGCTCGAATAGCCTGGGGCCAGGAAATTAGTTTCTGGGTTCCCTGTCTCCTTTGCTGCTGAACATCTGGCCATTGTTGGGGAACTGTATCTTGTGTTAGTTTTCGTGTCTCCGGTGATTGAGGGGCGAGAAGGGTGAGGGTGGGGAAAAGGGAAATAAGATGTGTGTGAACTAACCTTCTTGAAATGACGTCTGTGAAGTAAAAGTTATCAATAACCTTCTTCAAAGGTGCACCTGTTGGCTTGCTACCCTTGTTCTGATCTACCAATTGAACCTTGCTCAATTGTCTAAGAGCAACTGGTTCAACGACATCATAGCTAGCTAATGAAGGACTAATCTCTACCATACGATCACGCAGAGCAGCGACATCATCATATGGTAATGGAGCACCCAAGAATTCACTGACTGCTCGGATAATCTTCCAATCAGTTCTTGCGGCACCGGGTAATGAAGTGGCGGCACGGGTCATTTGTACACGTCCTTCGGTGTTGACATATGTTCCGGCCTTCTCGGTATATGCGGCACCTGGAAGAACGACATCGGCGATTTGAGCCCCACGATCACCGTGATGACCTTGGTAGACAACAAAGGCGTTCTTAGGGATATCAGCAGCATTAAATTCATCAGCACCAAGTAACCAAATAAATTTAGGCTTTGTCTCGGCAACAGCTTGGGAAGGTGTAGTGAAGCCAACTTCGAAAGCACCAGCTCTTGAGGCAGCACGTTGAAGAACGTTGTATCCATTCCACTCCTCAGTCAAGAAGTTCGAGGCGTGTTTCTCAACGAAGGTACCAACTGTCTCGTACATAGCCTTGGCATCAGCGTGGTCTGTGACACCTGAACCAACAATAATCATTGGTCTCTTGGCCTCTGCCAGCTTTTTACCGAAAGGTCCAGCCAGAGTCTCCTTCAAGGCGGCAGCATCAGTACCGAGATGCTCAAATTCGAAAGTTGATTCCCATGCTTCACCGACGACACCAATCTCAAGGTCAGAACGTAACCATTGTTTGCGGATACGAGCATTAAGACCAGCAGCTTCGTGTCTAGTGTTGCTTCCAACGATCAAAATAGCATCGGCTTCCTCTACACCCCAAATCTTAGAGTTGAACAAGTAATTCGAACGAACGTCGATTCCGTGTGGCATTGGGGCATTTCCAGATGGTTGATCAAGAGCCAAGTTCTCAGAGCCAAGCTTGTTGGCAAGATCCTTCATAGCAACCATAGATTCAGTCTCAATTAATTCTCCAGCAATAACTTTGAATTCGTTACCCTTTGGAGCAAAATCTTTGTATGCTGCACCAATCTCAACCAAAGCTTGCTCCCAGCTGACTGGAAGGAATTTTCCATCCTTCTTGATTAATGGGGTAGTGAGTCTTTGAGTTTTCAATCCATCACAGGCAAATCGTGTCTTATCGTTGATCCATTCCTCGTTGACATCGTCGTTTAATCTAGGGAGAATTCGCATAACCTCGAGACCTCTCGAATCGACTCGAATGTTTGATCCTAAGCCGTCCAATACATCAATAGATTCGGAGTGCTTCAATTCCCAAGGTCTAGCTCTGAAAGCGTATGGTTTTGATGTAAGAGCTCCAACAGGGCACAAATCTATAATATTTCCAGACATTTCGGAATCCAGGTTCTTCTCGAGGTATGTTCCAATTTGTAAATCGTTTCCACGTCCAGTCGATCCAAGTTCCGGTGCACCGGCAATATCGTTTGCGAATCGAATGCATCTTGTACATTGAATACATCTGTTCATCGAAGTCTTGATGAGGGGTCCAATATTTTTATCCTCAGAGGCACGCTTGCCACCAACTTCGTGGAATCGGCCACGATCAGCTCCATATCTCATAGATTGATCTTGCAAATCACACTCTCCTCCCTGGTCGCAAATAGGACAATCTAGCGGGTGGTTGGCCAATAAAAATTCCATAACTCCTTCTCGGGCTTTGTGTGTGAGGGGTGAACTGGTCTTGACGACCATGCCGGGCTGTACCGGCCATGCGCATGATGCAACTGGTTTTGGTGCTTTTTCGACTTCAACTAGACACATACGACAATTTCCAGCAATCATAAGCTTCCTATAGTAAAATATTCGGATCAGTGGGGTTCGTTCGTAATATGCGCAGTCGTGTCGACTTACTCATGATAGCAATATCTATGAAAGTGTTAGCAGAAAACTTCAGCACATAGATTTTCTATTAGAAGCTTGCCTTGGGACTGTGACTCCTGCCTTCTCACATGCTTGAATTAAAGCAGAACCAGCTGTGGCGTGTCAACAACTTTTTCCTATCTCAATTGTAATCATTCCCAGCATACCTTCTATAGAAACTTGTTTGCCATCTAGTATAGAAATTAGCCAAATCTTCTGTGATATCCTTCGCAGATCCAATGCCGCTTACCAACAGTGAGAGTAACCTCTGCCTGTCTTCTATTTGTAGTCGCGAATGTTCTTGCAACATATAAACTTTGTCTACTGCTTCGTAGAGCGGATCTCGATAACGTTGACCTCAGCATGGTGTGTATGTAGAATCTGGGTATGAAAAGAAGAAAGAAAGAAACTCCGCAGTACAAAAGAGGTGGCGAGGGAGACCCTTCAATTGATTAATTATCTACTTCTTTACCCCAAATTCATTTGAAGCTCTCGTCGTTCGGATGTAACTTGTTAGCGTATATCGTGGAATTTACTAATCCCGTTCCCCGTCATCATGATTGGTTCTCCCAAGATGACTAATATTTCACACTATAAAGTTCTTCACATTCGGAAATTTTTTAATCTTTTTCTTCTTCTCTTCTTCATTTAAATTGTAATGGACACTTTTATTGTGGGTGTACTTGAGTGAAGCAATTCACAATCAATCGAGTCTTCCTCTATCTTGTGTTCTAGAAGAACATATACTGAGCGCTGGAATGGATGCAAATGAAATCTTTTCTACAAAAAAGCTTTATGAATGCGCAACTTACCGCCGGCTGCTACATACTACTTGAAATTACCTATATTCTTGTGCGCCGTTGAGGAATCCAAATCGACAACATGAACGGCCAAGAATCGAGAATAGTCGTGAATTAGATATGGTGACGGTGATCAACCTCTTTCTGGATCGTGGTTTGATTTTGGCCTGTTGCTCTATATTATTTTGATTGTTGTGCTTTATTGTATTTTCTTGGCCACCACCTACTAAAAAAAGCAATCGCTATGTCAAAGTCACTCATCCACTTGCTTGTTGATGTGGCCGTCAGAATCTTGTTCGTCTTGAGGACCTCAATTCCTCACAATTCATCCAAAAAAGTAAACACCGTTCATCTAGATCTTTGCGCCAATGACAATGGAAAATTGCCAGTTCCAAATACACGAAATAGTGCCTTCTCGCGACGATCTCTGGCACGTTTATTCCAGTAACCTGAATATACGACTTGCTCCCAAACTCTGCACCTGGTCCAGGAAAGCACCTCGTCCTTTCCGTTGAATGGAATATTGCTATCGATGGAAGAATCATGTCTATTGTTTTGGACGTCTTCACACGACTTATCCAAAGCTGATAACAGATTAGCCATGCATCGCTGACATATGTCAACTGCCGTGGAATGACAGCTTGCCTTGGAGTTGTGCATTTCTGAAGGGACATACTAACTTGGTTCAATAAAAGGAACGATTTTACCAATCGACATGTAATATCTACCTCTTGCGTTCTCGAAATTCATTCGATGATCCTCGCGATCCCTCCTACCGATTGTAAAGTTTGTCCTCTCTTTATACCCTAGTTCAAATAACTCCTTGTGAGCAACATTCATGTGGAAGATAGGCATCAGCGCCTCGAGATCTTCCGAAGACGAATTATTAGCATGCAAGCCTACCTCTAATCTGCCTATGCCTGGCAATTCCAGACTTGGGAACGAAGTCGTGATGACCTCAGTCAATTTTCTGAGTTGTCCAAGTTTATAATGTTGCTGCTTTTTGATTGGAACCTCTGTTTTGTGGTATGGGAATTCAATATGGATTCGGACGTCTCGGACTCGCCTCAAGAGTGGTAAATACGTGCGTAGGACCGTTTCTACGTCGTCGACGAGCATACTAGGCGGCCACATATTCTTCCAGGGTTCCCCCAACCATGATCTGAGCTCAGGCTTAAATACGTGCACGATACAGAAACGAAGTCGAAGCCTAGCTTGGCCATAGATAAAGTCTTCAAACCTGTCGTGTATCTTTTTGTTGACGTAAAGGAGAGCCATCTCACTCCGAACATCGTCGGACTTAACCCTATCATAACGTTCATCCGTCACATCCATCACACGCCTTTCTACTGCGTTCTCAAACTTGAGACTTCCGAAAGACCAGTAATGCGCAAAGATACGCAGATGGATTTCGGTAGGAAGCAAGCCAAATGCTGGCATCGATTCTGTACTTTGAAATTCCGGATCACTTGCTTTCGGAGGTAGTGAAGACATTGCGAGGAGTTCACTGAATCCAGATTAGCAAACTCATGAGTAATAGACAAGCGGCTACACTCTTCGAAGGCGGTATTCTCAGCTAGTAAGCAAATCTTCACTGTGATCTCTTTTTCGGGGCCTCAAGAAGGTTCTTTGCTGGAGCGGCAGATCGATGGTAAGATGACAGAAAGTCAAGATGAAGAACAAGAGTCAACCCCCTATATTTCGGAATCTACAATACATTTCTGCTTACTTGTTTGCTGCAAATGATGTCCTCCACTCACCTGCTAGAGGGAATCATGAGAACTAAGATGATAGCAACAAACAACCTGGGAACTTCTCTCTCAACAAACAACTGAACTTCATCCCATGTATCCAACAGTGTCAGGTGATACTATCCCTCAATCTTCTCGAATGATCTTGCAACCATAAACACAGACACAAAAACGATAAGGAGATCCTTTGCTACAAGATTTGGATTGGGCATCTTGATTTGGATATTTGCCTTTGCCTAGACATGTATCAGGACCTCACAAACAGCTAAACTTTGATTGTCAAATTTTCAAGCTCTTTTCAATTTCTTTCTGGGATTTTCATCGCAGATAGTTATAAGATACCAATGCATGAAGGGGAGTTTAATGGCATGATGTACCAGGGCTATCAGCAGCATTCAGGTTGAGTCTGTAGTGTTCGTTGAACTACTGCTCTGGTAGCTCTGGTAGATTCATAGTTGATGAGGGGCAGATCAATTAACAAGCTGCATACTACCAGATACGTACATTCACCAGCGCTTTCTCAATGCATAACGTAGGATGCTTAAGAAATTGAGAAATTTTGCTTAGCAGCAGCAGAGACCCGCAAAGGAATCAGATGACAAAGGCGGCTTAGCTGCTTGGCTCTTCTACCCCCTCACTTCAGGTCCTCAAATCTTTTCAATCTAGTTGATTGGTTTGATCTTAGACAGCTAGAATTTCAGCAGAGTTTTATTATATTGATAGGTAATCGGATAAGGTATGTGATTTCATTCAGGCTTTCTTTGATGGAGGAAGGGGGAAAGCGGGGAAACTGTTTGAGATTCACAAGGATGAATGGCCTCCCGAGGTCGTGATTGAGAGCAATTTGCAAGTGAAGACCGACAGAGATTTTCCCGTTAATTCTATATCAGGTTAAGGGCTGTTACTGTATTGATTCGAATCAGTGAATCTTCCCACAGCTAGGAAGATGAACAAACTTGAAAACTTGACGAGAAAATATTCAACAATCAAGAAAGCTACTGAGATCACTTGCAGATGGATCTGTGTAACATTTCCTATAGTTCTAGTACACACATTCCACAGATGGTTAGAGTATGCAGTATACCTGGGTAATAGAAGCCAAAGTCTTGTTGAACTGAGAACCCAGTTCACAGAGCCAAAAACAAAAGACCTGTAGACACGTAAATACACAGGCTCTGCATAATTGTGATGAATGTCCCATTCTTGGACAACCTTGGACAACCTTAGAAAGCTTTACTTCACTCTTTCTTGTTTGAAACTCCATATGGTCAAGTATGATTGATGTCTTTCATCTTCATGTTATGATAGAGAAGGAGGAAATAATTAGGCGAGGCTCGAGTGAAACTTCCAGGGGAAACAATGAATGGCCAATGTGAACACTGAACTTCAGTACATTCACTTTTCAAATTTACTGATCGAAAACAGACGAAACTGAGAAGTCCGAGGTCATTGAAAAACTTTTCATGCTCATTTCATTCTGTACTAGCGTATTCTATTAGTTCGGGCAACATTCTCGTGACCTTGAATTATATTCTCAGTAGGATAAACAGACAAGTTCTCAAAAAGATAAAACAGAACAAAGTCTTCGACCATACACAACAAGCCTCAAAACTTTCTGTACTTCTTCTCTTAAGTTCTGTATTCGAAAAATATTAATTGCTGCGCAATAAATTCTTTTTCGCCAAACACAAATTACCTCAACCTCGAGGTTCGAACTGTCTATTAGACAAATCATACAAGATGGATTACAGCAACGGTCTTGGCATCTCATTTGGCACAAACTATTCAGAATTTGAGGAACGTGATGGCAGTTACGAAGAAGCAATTGAATCCGACAACCATCGTCAAGTTCACAATGGCCAGCAGATGGAAGACAGTGGAGAGACGTCAGGATATCAACCATCCTTTGAGTCTCAACTTGCCGATCCAGACATTACTCCCCGACCAAACTCTTCTTACCAAACCAGTTCACCCCTATCAACCAAATTTCAAGTGGTGCACAAGCTCAATCCTATGGTCAACCATATCAACACAGTCAGCCGAGCACTTCCTTCCATCCTTTGGAAAATAATGGACATCTTCAAGATCACATGAACGCTATTCTTGCTTCACACAACGACTATGGCCAACCCATTCCTCAAGCTTTGCAATTTGGCGCAGATCCTCAATTCAATAATCATGGTCATCCTGATTATGGCTTCCAGAACATGTCGGATCAAACTCGAATGGATACACAACATGGCTTTGGAAATTCTGATATGCGACCTCAGCAATTTACACAGAACATCAACCGGCAGTATGTGTCTCCTGCAGTTATGCAGCACCAAGAAGATCCTACTCATTCCCCATCCAATAATCTTCAGACGTATAGAAATTTATACAGGAACCAAGAAGATTTCACCAAAGTGAGCGATTGTTTGAGCTTTCAGCCAAAGCCCGGTTCTTTGAGACCCAGTCGCTTTCGTCCAGTGCATGATAACACAAGTCAGGTGCGAAATCAACTTGGCGACCAAGTGCAAAGTTCATCTTCTGCAAGACAAGGGAATATTTCAAACAAAAACAACAGAACGTCCGGTCGTGCTCCCGGAAAGAAGGGTGGATCAGCCGAAGAAAGATACTGGAATGGATTCGACACACATCGCTCAATGTGGTCTGTTCAATGTCATATCATCGAAAATATCTTACCTGGATCATGTATCTCTCACTTAACTCCGGGCGAGCAAGAAGGCGTCATTACAATGATGCAACGTTTAGGGTTGGACAAATGGAAGATTACATGCAATGAGGATATCCAAAAATTCTTGGATCAAATTGAGTCATTCAAATCGCATCTCTACGCGAAGCAAGCCCGACTCAGAGCAGAAGCAGGTTTGCCTGAGCTTCCTCCGCCTGAAGAGTATCAAAATCTTCAGGGGGGTGATGACCCTCCTCTACAAGATACATCTTCATTTCCAGAGGTATCACCAAATTATGTTCTTACCTCCGATCATGGAGGACCGATCTTTGGTCAGGATCCAAGAGACTATCGCCTCGTAGGCAAGGGTCACTCGCATCATCCAGATGATGTGTCTTTCATACCAGTAGGCTCGGAACAAGAGGTCGTTGCAAGTCACAAGTTTGCCAGCTCAAGAATTCAACTCGCAAATTCGTCCTCCACCTCTCATTACCCAACGTTTTCTTCCTCCAACTTTCCAATCACATTACGGTATGCAAAATCAGCAAGGACATCCATTGGTTCATCCAAGTGATCTACTTCATCCATCGATGGATCAAGGCATGGATAGACCTTTGGATTTCTCGTATCAACCTGTCGAATTCAATGGTGGTCCACCACAGCAATATCATCACCACGGTCAACCTTTTGAGTACAGCTCCTTTCATGGTCATTCTCCTCGCTCTCTCCATCTCTATCCAAGTAACAACGCTGACCAAAATTTCCATCCAGCTCCACCCCCAGAAACAATTGAAGAGTACGAGGAAGATGACGAACAGCAAGAGGAGGTAACGGGTACTGAGTCTCAGTCTCAGACCGCAAAACAGGAATATGGACCGAAAAAGGAACAGAATCAAGAGCAATCCGAACCCCCACAACAAGAAAACCAAACCGCAGAATCCGAAAGCGAACTCGACTCCGATGGTTGGTCTATCCACGCTGACGAAATGCGTTCTCCACCATCAAACATCTATTCCATCCCCGACCCGCAAATATGCCACCCTCACCTCCACGACCACCACATCGTTTTCCGAGTAATGAGATCAATCCCTTCGGAGCGATAAATAAGCCTCCTCCGATTATTGGGCCTAGAATCGCGTGTGGAGTACTGCTCTGGGTGCGATTGATGAGAATGGGGTAATTAGAGATTGGGATAAGGCAGAGAGAAGAGAAATTGTTGAGGGGAACTGCGGATGCAAGGGTTGGTTTCATGGGAATGGGAGGGATTTTATTATGTGGATGGTGGCGGGGAGAGGATTTGTTGTGATGGGGGAGAAGGGGAGGATGCTTGGAGGAAGTGGGGAAGAGGGAGACGATGAGGACAATGCTGAAGATGAAGGGGAGGAAGATGAACAGTTAAGAGGAGTCCCGAAAGGGTTAAGCAGGCCATTAACTCATGGACCAGAATTAGATAAGGTCGAGGAGAGAAGAAAGAAGTGGAGTATCGCGCAATGATGGCGAGGAAGGTGAAAGAATACTCGCTAGGAAGAAAGCGAAGGAGATAGGAGAAAATTCCAGGATTTGGTTTTGATGGGATTTCGAATCGATGGATGTCGAGTCATTATTCGATGATTGCTGAGCACTTTGAGGGGTATGATGCGAATCAATTCGATCCAAAGTCAACCGGTAAGGGAAACGCAAAGCGAGAACTGTTGATTCAGAGGAGGATCTCGATGAAGGCTCACCAGTCAAGAAGTGGAAAGGAAAGGGGAGAGCTGCGGAATCAGATGAAGAATTGGATGAGCAGGAAGTTTGCTAGAAAATATGCTAACAAGGAAAAGAATAAGGGAAAGGAAAAAGGAAAAAATGTTCGAACTTCCAAAGGAAACGGGAGTTGAAGATTATCTGTTTGGAGATTCTGCAGAAACGGCTCGATGGGCTGAGGGATTGGGTCTCCAGCCTCTGGGGAACGAAGAGGAAATGGATGAAGATAATAACGATTCTGACTTCAAGAACATCAATCCTTCACAGGGTGGCTACGATACCACACGATATCCCAATAACTCCGAACTTGAACATGAATCCGCCACCGCAGATCCCGAGCTCGCAGCAACCGGCATCATCCTCCCGGCCACATTTCCAAATCCCTCCCATCCCTCTTCCGAAGAAGAAATCGAAGCCATCCCCCGACCAGTACCCTACCTCTCTCTCCGCAACCCCGGCCCCTTCAACATCTTTCAGTCCCTCCTCCTCACACCCGAAATAATACTCGAATTCATCCTTCACCTCTCCCCCAAGAACCTCCTCACACTCTACTCCATCTGCCGACCCTTCCACACCATCCTCTCGCACTGGATGGCGCACGCCATCAAATCCATCGTCAAATATCAAGCCCCCTACTCCTACACCATCTACCCCTTCTACCTCTACCGCGAGCTCAGCATCCCCGACCCCCTCGGCACGCCCCACTCCTCCGGTCAAATACGCCGCGTCCCCAGCCTCAAATACCACCAAATGGTGCTCCACCGCTGCCGCGTCATCCGCGACATCCTCGCCTCCCTCGCACGCCACCGTCTGCGCTGTCCCCCCGGTACAAACCACTCCCTCAAAAAAGTCTGGTTCCTCATGGACCTCTCCACAACCCTCGACCGTGTCCGCCTAATCCACAACCGCACCTTCTTCACAGACCACGATCTCTACAACATCCAACACTTCATCGTGAAACTTGACATGCGCCTCAACTGTCCCACCGACGGACCCGGCTCCGATTTCCTCCGCAAACTGATGCTCGGCCAGCGGGGTCTCACCCCGCTCTTCCGATTACTGACTCGAACCGGTTTTACAGATCTCTACGAACTGTACCAATACAGCGTACGCTATTCCTACACTCCCCTCACCCCCGCCCCCGATCTGCACCTCGGACTTTTCGACGTCCCCGCGAATGAGATCGGGATCGCGCATCTCGAGGGCTGGGGAAAAGGATCCAAACATCTCATGCGCATCGATGAGCTCGTGATGCGGGAAGCGACGCGCAGAGAATTGGGATTCAAAGAACACATCATGATGATGCTACTCTGGGGCTATGTGGATCCGCTAACGGGGGAGAATCTGCAGCCGAGCAGAGAGGAAATGTATATGAGTGATGGGGAGGACCAGGAAGCGGAGAGTGAGGGGGATCCGTGGGAGGGGACGGGGATGAATATGCAGAGGTTGGAACAGGTTGTTTTGGGGAGGGCGGAGGAGAGTGATGCGGATGGGGATGAGGAGCAGGAGGGAGAAGAGGAATGGGAAGATGAAAATGAATTTGAGGATGATCCTTGGTTGTGAATTTATGAGTTTGATTCGGCGAAAAGGAAGTTGATCTTCTGAAATACAGAAATGGCTTGAGGCTATTATACTATATCAGGCGAAAAAACAGAAAAGAGACATACCTTTTTTGTCAGATCTCTATTGTACTATAGGAAATATCTATATGAATAATTCACTGCTGAATACCTACCTGATTATCAATCCTAATACAAAACATACATACCCTACCCTAATAATACACGACCACAAAATGACCACAAAAAGAACACAGTAATACATCCCAATCTCCATCCCAATCTCCATCCTTCACACCTTCCACCAGCACATCTTCACATCTTCACATCTCCAGCTTCCACCAGCACATATAAACCTCACCAAACACAACCTCAAAAGCCCAGGATCAATAAATAATCCATTCAATTAATTCAGCCTTTAATTTTTACAAGAAATACCACACACTTTCTTCATTCAAATCTTCAAATCTTCAAACCTTCAAACCTTCAAACCCTCAATCTCTCAATCTCTCAAAGGTATTCAGAATTCCCCCTTTCAACTCAAATTCCATAACCACCAAATTACCTAGATCACAGCACTCCGTCCTCACAAGCACTCACTCCATCGTTAAAAAAAAACCTGGAAAATCTCTTAGTTCACAGAAGAACAACAATCATAGTAGGTAGGGTGTAGTAGTAATCACAAAAGTCACCATCACAGCGAGATATAAAGTTCTAAAAAGTTCAACTTCAACCATATGTATTCATTGGAGAAGCAGAAAAAACGAGAAGTGTTATCTGCATCCTTCAGCCTATCTACTATACTACTGATTTTACCAATCCAGCAATTCACTCCTCTCCTCCAGATCCCATCACCTCCACCCGCCACCACACAATAGAAATCGACGCACATACTAACACAACACCAAAAAACAGAAAGAGTAGACACGAGGAAAAGTAAGCTTGCTACAATGAAAGAAATAATAACAACCTAATCACATCCATCCATCCATCCATCCATCCGTCCATGCATACCATCCCCTAACCATCGACCGTCATCAGACCGTCCACACCCATCCAATAAACTACCATCCTTCCATCCGTCCACCCCATCCATGCCCAAGTACCCCCCAGCCCAGCGACCAAACGATCAAACCTTCTAGCAACCCAGCCCCAAATGTCCTAAATATCCACCTACACCCCCACCCAAACTAACCAATTACCGTATCAGTAAAGAAAACGATAAATGCTTGAATGCTAGTATGTGTTTTCCCTTCTCCCAGAAATGTTACGAAGGAAAAAAAAAGACAGGAGAAAAGACGCAAAGTATTCGACACAAAGTGCTGGAGAAGCCGAAACAAGGTAAAGACAACTTCATCGCGAGCACACACAAACCGAAAGGAAAAATACAAGAAAGCGCAATAGAGAAACTTGAAAACAACATGCAGAAATCCTAACCCTTCTCAAAAAATCCCCTTTGCCAATATCCATCACCATCGCCATCGCCATGCTTTTTTGTGATTTGATCGAAAATGCGTTCGTCATATTTCCATACTCCGGTACGAAGAAGGAAGATCAGACCAGATATTAGACAGAGAAGACCGAGGACCCCGTCCAAACACCCCAACCACATTAACGACAGCACTCCTTCGCTATGCACCAAGCCAAGATCCAACCGATTCAAGTCGAAATCGTCCCTTTATACACCATCAAGCATATTTCGATCCGTTTCCATTTGCTCGCTTTCCCTTTGCAGCCCTGAAGTCAGAATCCACCTTCCGCATTAAAAGAACTCCGCCCTCCAAACTTTGTTCCATGTCAATTTTCCACATCATATAAATTTTCCCTGCCATTTTCTTTATACCGCTACCGATCCAACCGACTACCCATCCCAACCACCCATGTATGCGCTAAATCCACCTTATAAACCATTGTAACAAATCCACAAAGCCCCGACCGATAAATGTCTATCTTTCATTCAAACCCCAAAGCCATCCTGAAATATAGTCACAGAAGAGATAGTCGAAACGTATAAATGGAAAAAGGATGAGCGCAAAGACCAAGAACGCCTTAAGCTGGAGATTTGCTTGGAGCAGCAGCACCATTTTGACGAGCATCACCGCTACCCATAGACAAGTTGTTGATTCCAGATGAAAGGAAAGCGAATGGATCACTTTCACCTTGGTTAGCATAGAAGTTGTTTGAAGGCCCTGCGGATGCTGGACCATTGCTGGCTGATTGGAATGCTGCCTCTGCAGATCGGCTATCAAATCCTCCTGCGCCGGCAGAGTGAACACCAGTTGCAGGTCCGAAGTGAGTATTCAATGAGGGGTATGAGCCAGTTGGTGCGCCAAGACCGGATGGAAGAGCATAAGTGCTAGGTGGGCCACCAAAGTGTTGACCACCATAACCACCGGATGGACCGAAGCCACCAGCAGCTGAGGCAAAAGGACCTGGACCAGGTGTACCAGCCATGGAGTTGGAACCCATGCTATAGTTGTTCGCAGCATCCATTGGGGAAGGATAACCAGAATCGGCAACGACAGCGGCACCAGCACGACTTGCGCCACATCTTAAACAGCTGACATTCTTGGCAAAGTTGTGGTAACCACACCCTTCAGATCCGCACTTCCAATCACCGGCACGGAAAGGAACAACGCCACCACCACCACCCATCCTTCCACCTCCGTGGCCACCTCCCATACCTCCGTGATGACCCATGTGTTGTGGAGGGGGCATCATTGCTGGTGGACCATAGCCGTAACCACCACCACCACCACCATATCCACCACCCATCTCAGCAGCTGGGCCACCACCCATGGCTGGGAATGAGCATCGGAAACAAGCAGTTCTACGCTGGAAGTTAGAGAAACCACATGATGGACATGTCCAGTCTCCAGGGCGAGGTCTGTTCTTGCTAGGTGGGAAAGGAGTAAGAATTTCTGCAGCACGGTCAAGAACGCGACTTGAAGATGGTGAAACCTCGATAGCTTTCTCATTGAGAGCTCGTCCATTCATGCAGAGACTTTCAGCGGCCTGAAATTGTGTTAGAGAATGACCACGAATGTTAAAAAATTTGATAAGTGAAGCAATAGAGAGCCCAAGTAATTTATCGTAAAGTAAAAGAATGAATTCATAAGAAGCTGAAACCACAATTTGATGTTCGTGGCACAACACACAAGATAGGAAAAGATGAGTGGGGGAATTTTGGCTGACCTCTTCATGGGATGAGAATACTGCGAATCCAGAACCAGTTGGTTTGTGCTGATCTGGGGTTCGGAGCGTCCAGAAAGCAATGGGGCGACCACCGAATTGGGTGAACCAGCTCTCGAGCTCAGATTGAGTGGTATCATGGGGAAGTCCTGCCATGTGAAGAACTTTGCTGCGTTCCGAAAGAAAAGCTCTAACATCAGCACGGGCATCCATAGGTCTGGTAAGAACATCAGGATGTTCATGAGGAGGTTGTGACTTGCGAATCAACCCTCTGAGGACTCTAGCAAGTGTAACCGCTTCTTCCATTGCACGACGAGGGGAGGCCGGGGCCAAAGCTTGGAGGTGGAATGGAAGGTTGTGCTTGATTGGAGCACTAGCTTGAACAGGTTCGACTTCCAACGCAGCGCAAATATTTGAAAGCATGGATGGACCGAATGGCAGAGATTCAGGGTGATGTTGTTGCCATCTTTGGTACTCAGTTCGAAGGTCAAAAGTTCTAGAATGTTGTAAATACGGAGGCAGCACAACAGCTTTGTCACGAGCTTCGCGGGGAAGCTGGACTCGAAGATCCCATGAATCAAGTGTAACAAAAGAGAAGTCTAAATTTTGAGATGTGAGGTGCTCGGCAGCAAACGTATCGAATCGGTTGATCGCATCGCGGAAGGTACCTGCAGTACGGACATGTTCCCAAGTAAGAGTAGTCAAGCTCGCTGTAGATAGTTCGTTAGCCAATATTCGGAAGGAACGGTATCAAGGTCGTCCTGAAGGATTGAGGTCCGTATCTGATAAGATGGTTCCGTTCGGCACTTACTACATAGAGGAGTAATTGGAGTGTTGATGGGCTTAACAAGAACACTCTCTCGGTGAAGCTGGGAAATTTCTTGATTAGCAAGTTGACTTCGGCAGATAGTTGGAAGCTAAATTAGGATGAAAACTCACCTCGTCACAAGTTTTTGCGTCGAGTAAAATCCACCCAAGCTCTATCACCTCAGCGGAATCTTTGGTAACGTAAACGCCATGTTCATCGCAAGTGGTAGCAACGTGAATGACAACATATCGATCTAAGTTGCCTTGCTGGCCTTGAATAGCTGTCGACATTTTTTTTTGGAAGCTTTAAAAGTGTGCGAAGTATAGGAATTGAACTATTCTTCCGAATTGAGAGAGATGAGTTGTTGGGGGGAGGGGGGTAGTTGATGTAATCGATGGGACCTCCGAAAAACGAATAGGAGGGTGAGGAAGAGGTTAAGAGGTGAAGAGGAGAAGAGGTACTCGGCAACCAGATTAAGAACGAAGAGAAAGTTTCCAGAAAAGTGCTTTAACCTTAGGTATTCAATATCTAACCTTCGGGAAAGGAAGGTTGGTTGAGAATTGGAGAAAAGAGGGAAAGGAGGATGTGGAGCTAAAAAAATCTTGTGGTAAACGGTAAACAGCGAGTTGGAAATTTGACGGGCAGGGAACATACATTATTTTAGCGGGACGTGAAAAGAAGAGTCTTGTCAGTGAAGAGGAGCTTTGGGATTATAATATGGAGTGAATATTGGAAGAAGAGAGGATGAGATGTATAAATGTTTATTGAATATTGAGTATCAAGTATTAATAAATGTTAAATAAATAAATATTAAATAATCAATATTGTATTTTTAATATGGATGTAAATATATAGACAACCCAAATTACACTTTGCTTGTATTTTAAATCAAAAAAAGAATATTGTATACGGCATTCATCACATTACAGATTAATTATTTATATAATATACATATACACACAGCTACCTAGATAGGTACATATACACATACACATACACATATA